CTGAACCGAGCACTCCCTCAGAAGCCCCCACTACTTCTGCTCCCACCCCTTCACAATCGGCCAGTGGGTCTAGCTCAAGCACCCCAACAGAAGCCCCAACCCCTTCGCAAACGGCCGGTGGTTCTGGCCCAACTCCGACGGAAGCCCCCACGACCCCCTCAGCAACGCCCGGAGGTTCTGCATCGAGCAACCCCTCAGAAGCCCCGACTTCGGGCTCGACCCCTTCGGCAACGCCCGGCGGTTCTGATCCAAGCACTCCCACAGAGGTCCCCTCTTTTGCCCCGACTCAAACTCCTTTCCCAGTTGAAAGCCCCGGGCCTACGGAGGAAGTTCCTACCGGGCAGCCTATCGGAACCGCTTCTCCAACTGATCCTCAACAGGTTCAGACCCCCTCCCCCACGCAGCCGCAACCGACGCAGCCCACTCAACCCCCCCAAAACACGCAACCCCAACCCACTCAACCGACTCAACCCCCCCAGAATACGCAGCCGCAACCCACTCAACCGACTCAACCCCCCCAAGTGACGCAACCACAGCCGACGCAGCCGACGCAACCCCCGCAACCGGGGTCTAGCAATCCTCCCCCCGAAACGCCCCCTGAGAGCACCCCCCCGCCGTCCGCGCAAACCCCCCCTCCGTCCGCCGGCCCCTCGGGCCCCCCCTCGGAGAGCCCAGGACCCTCAGAGATTCCGATTCCGTCTCCATCCGGTTCCGCTCCTCCGACTCAAAGCCCGGAGCCCGTTCCGTCCGGCAGTCCGCCGCCCGGGACGGCCTCGCCGAGCGGAACGCCTGCTCCCAATGAAACGCCTTCCCCACCCGGAACGTCCCCTACCCCAACGGAAACGGCTTCTCCCGGCGGAAGTTCCTCGCCGACCGGAACGCCTTCTCCTACCGAAACCTCTGCTCCCGACGGAACTCCTTTCCCTACCGAAACGCCTTCCCTGACCGGAACGCCTCCTCCTACCGAAACCTCTACTCCAAGCGAAACTCCCTCCCCGACCGGAACGCCTCCGTCGAGCGGAAGCCCTTCTCCGACGGGAACTACTCCACCGACGGGCACGCCTTCCCCAACCGAAAGCTCCGCTCCTACTGAGACACCCTCAGCGAGCGGAACGCCAGCTCCAACGACCGGAACCCCTGCTCCAACGGAGACTCCAACCCCAACGGAAACCCCTGCCACCACCGGAACACCGTCTCCGAGTGGAACGCCTCTACCCACCCCGTCTGAAATGGCACCGCTGCCAACCCCAAACGCCACCCTAACCCCGGGGGTTACCAGTACCCCAACCCCGACTCCATCGTTACCCCCCCCAACCGAAACCCCTGCATTCAATGCAACCACCCCTCTGCCCACATTGACACCAAATACGACCGTCGCCCCAAACGCAACCCTGCTTCCAACCTTGGTGCCAGGTCCCACTGCGCCAACTAACGCAACCGGAAGCCCCACATTGACACCAAACTCGACTGCCGCCCCAAACGCAACCCTGCTTCCAACTTTGGTGCCAGGACCAACTGCGGCAACAAACGCAACAGGGAGCCCGTCGCTCGTTGTGCCGACAGCTGGCCCGGTCGGCAACGTAACGCTCGTCCCTACTGTGGCCCCGATCGTTACACCCACCCCGGTCCCGAGTTTGGCGCAGTCGAACTTTACGCTGCCAACTGGACAGACTTTCACGGGGCTCGTCACGAACGCATCCGTGTTTCCGCTGAACATCACCTTCCCGGAGAACGTAACGAACGTGAGCGCGAACAGTATCAACGTTACGAACGGGGCGGTCGTTGGGCAGCCGGTACCAGTGGGGAACAACACGTATACGTTTCAGGTAGGTCGGGTTTCCAGCATAAGCAGCCCCGCTTATGATACGTGGAAGCAAGCTTTGCTGCAAAGTGCCGTTCTCGCATGCGAGCGCGCAATGACGGCTTTGGCTATGTCTCTGCAATATCCAGGTTCTGCTTCTGAGCTGAAGTCGACAGAGACAGCAAGAAACTTGCGCGCAAGCGTCAATGAATTCTGCTATCAAGTTCAGCCCTGACTCTCGCGTTTTCTGAACCTCGTATCATCGAACCCCATGCTAATCACCCCCTTGAAATGGCATAAGAACAGACACTTAATTTACCACACCTAAGGAACAAGACTTTAAAACAGCTGGCAAGCAAGACGAATGCTCTTCTGCACTTTCCACCAGATCCAATCTACCGGAGCACCCACAGCCGCTCAGGACTCTTACCGGGTTATGGCATTTCCGGAGCCCCAGTCCAAAATTGCGACTCCTGTCACCGTAACGCTTCCCCTTGGGGCTGTGACGTCATCCGGGGCATCTGGGTCAACTACCGTCTTTGTCAGTAAGTAGCTCGAATCAAGGATCTTCACGATTGAATTTTTATTAAGCAGGTTCTCGTCGCACACGAGGTATGAGGCGCATGATTTTGCAGGAATTGTGCTGAATCGTGTTGTGACACGGTTTGACTTTAAGAATTCAAGAGTGGGCTTTGCAGTTCTGAAGGCTCGATCAGCAGATCTTGAAACCTTCTGGAGCCTGCTCTATGCTATCTCGCTGCCAGTCTACTGCAACCGGGAGAAGTTCTAAATTTGATACTTCATGGCTTCTTTTCTCCCGACTCGAATTCAAACGGCAAAAACGCCAATTTTTTTTCCTTCCAGCACTGGACTGACGCACCATCCACACATCTGTGACTCTTCACACCCACCCACGGCCTTATTCACACTGCACATCACAGGCGTCTCTACCGCACAGAATCGTGTTTCTCAACACTGCACACATCACGAGCTTTTTCACACTGGGCGCTCTCACGCACCCAGCCACCAGTGTGAACGCGCCCCTGCACACAGCGGGCGCTTCCGCACCGTAGCACACAACACGCACGACTGCTCGCTCTTCTCCACGGGTTCCGGGCAGCAACCCACTGAAAGGATTCCGGCGGAACCGTCCTTCGATGTCCGGGGCATGCGGGTAAGATCAGAATTGCACACACGTACACCCACTTGAGTACTATCGCTACACTGCTCAACTCTCACTACCTCTCACACGGCTGATGATAGCAATTCCAACTTCACGCGCTTGTGCTCTACATTCTGACGGGTCTGACCACTTTACGAGTCTTGCAAACGCGGAAATTCTCGCGCCAGCTTTGAAAAGAACACGCTTACAAATGCGCAACCGCTGATACAGCCAGCTTGGCGTCTGTTCGGTCGACAGCTGACGATGCCCGCCCCTTCTCCTTTGAAAAGAAGATGATGTTTTCCACGACTATTCCAAAGTTCAAGCGAGCGTACGATGCCGGGTTGGGCGAGATCTAATCTGGTTGTTACTTAAATCCACAGAGAATCTGTCTTCGGGACCTCAGTATGTAAGCCTGACTTTTGTGACTCTCGAGTTCTGAAAACTGGGTAAAAGGCGGGGGGAGGAAGAACCAACAAAAACAGCAACAAGTGCCTGAACAAAGAAAGTACCCTTGAATCCAACATAACAACAATCTGCGCTCTTCTATACAGACACGGATCCGCTCACCGTCCGCATCGTGACGAGCGTCCCCCGGCGGACGTCCGAGCGGCTCTTCCCCGTGCTCATCGAGTTCTCATCGGCGGCCCTCGGCTTCGCGCAGGCGGACGTCCGGATTACGGGCGGCAACATTAGCTGGCAAGTTATTAACATTAACCCGTTATCATCGATCCCAGTATAAGTGGGTGATCCTAAATTAAGTGGCGTTGTGATTCCAGTATAAGAGGGCGCTGTGTTCCAATATGAGTTGGAGTTTTGCTCCCAATATAAATGGGCGTTGTGACACGTGCCCATTGGCGAAGTCGCCACCGAAGCAACTTGCGAGCGATTTGCGATATGTCTTTAAACCCTGTCCGACTCCCCCGCGATTTTGAAAAGTATTGCTGCTTCTTCGGATATTTCTCTTGCATGATACCTGTCTGTATCGGCTCTTGTCGTCTCCATGTTACCCGGATGCCAAACCATGCCCCCCTGACGGGGTATCTTGCCTATTATGGAACGCTAACCTTGCTCGCAACGGTTTTGCTAACCCCGTCCCTAACCCGTCCGCAGCTTTTCGTCCGTGGACCAGAACGTCGGGCGCGTGTTCCAAGTCCTGGTCCAAACCCCCAAAACCTCGCACCTCGAGATTAGCGTCCCGGCGGGCGTGGTTAGGGATAACTACGGCAACGCTAACCAGGCGTCCAACGTCCTACTCGTTGACATCCGTAAGGCTCGCTCTCAGCTTTGCTGCGTTGAATCCGCACTGCCGTCTGTTATTCAGTGGAATCCAGTGGTTGGTGGCACTGAAGATTCGAGGCGTGGTTTTCTGTAAACAGAGCGCTCAAAGCTCGCCAAAAGTAGCATCGTCTAAGTAGAACCGTTTCGGATGGGTTGGGCCCATTGCGTACTCGAAGGAGCTTTTCCCGTTTTCCGTCGTTCCTTTCAGCAGTCTTTGCTGTCTCTGCTGACGTCATTTCCTCCCGTATTCAATGCGAGCCATCAGACCCAGCACTTTCTCGGCTGAGTCCCTGCTCATCGTGAAACCCCTTGTATCGGCTCCCTCTCCCGCTTTCCTCTCGCTGACGTCACCTCTCCCCGCAGGTGACGTCACCCGCCAGGCCCAGGCGGTGTGGGCCACCTCCACCGCCGCCTTCGGCACCACCGCGCTCCTCTCCGGCGCCACGTCAGCGCTCGTTGCGTACACGTCACGCGGCCACGTGGCGCCCCCGGGGCTCTCGGGGTACCTCTCCTCGCAGCCGCTTCCGCCCGGGAGCTTCTCTCCGGTGATCGGAACGCACCCGGCGCGGAATCTGCTGGGGACTCTTTTCCACATGCAGCTCTTTGCGATGGCGGAACGCCTGGCCGTTCCGCTGCCCACGCTGTTCCGGGAGTGCGCGCACGGACTGCGCTGGACGCTCTTCCAGGTGTGTGGTTGATGATCACTCTGATTCCGCGGCTTAAAACGGGCACGCATCTTCTATCGTAATCATCTATTGCGTGTGCCAAATGTTGCAGCAGAACTTGCTTTTTGTGGCTGTCTCTCGCTTTTGAGTGAGAGACAATATGGTTTCATAGCTGCTTCGTCCTTTGTCCCCCTATTCTTGCTTCGGATTCTCACTATTCCGAGCTGAACTTGAGACTTTTCGTCTTTCTGTCTCGCTTCACTTGCAACAAACGTTCGTGCATCTATCACCTCGTGCCCTTCTGTGCTGGTAGATTAGGCAGAGCATGTCCGTTGCTCTACTGTATCAGTCGCTCAAACTCTTAACGTGGGACAAAACCAACAGAGCTCTTTGAGTTATCTTTTGTTACCAGACCTGTTTCTTTCAACTTTTCGCCTTCGTCGCTTAGTAAGCTTTTACGATTCAGGCCCTCTTCAGCACCTCGAAGCTGTTATCTTCGATTGTTGTGGCTTCGTTTGCTCGTATCTTCAACCCTCGGTCTAACCATAACCCTGACTTGAACCCTGACTCGGATTAATCCTGACTAAGTTTTCCGCTTTGACCCCAGGTCCCTCTCCCGGAGGATACCAAGTTGTTCGACAACCTCAACCTCGCGCGCGAGAAGACCGGCGCCGCCGCGACCACCGATTGCGCTGCCCTACAGCAGCGGTTCCTCTCTCTAACCGCACGGTTAGGCCTTCTCGAAACCCAAAACGGGTACGAAAGTCTCGGCGGAAACCGCTCGGCGTCGGCCTTCCTTCCGGGTTTGTTGCCGGGGCCAAATCGAGGCCACGAGTGGGATCGGGTAGAGGTTTCGACGAGGAGGGGTTTGAAGTGCACGGGGGACGATGAGTGTCTTACGGAAAGGGACGGGTTAAACGCGGGTCAGAGCCACGCCCGCAGGTTAAAGGATGATCCGTCCACCAAACCCGTTTTCCTACACCTCAACGACGGGGAACTGCTGTATAAGACCAACCCGGACGAGCTCGGTTTGCACCACCGTTTTGACGCCGACCGCGCGGGCGTGAGCGAGGAGCGGATAGCGTATGGGGGAGGGGGATCGCCTATCGAGCGCGCCAGGCATAGCTCGACTCAGGCGCTGAAATATGCCATGAGCCTCCACCCCGACTGGGAACTGGACGGCGCCAAGCGCGCCCTGATGTCCGAAACGGTTGGTTCCCGGTACGTAGCGTACGAGGAGCGATCCGAACCGTCCGAGGATGACGTCAGCATCCACTCGGCCCTGAGTCGGTGGTCCCGTGACCCGGGCACGCTCGGCGCGGCTGGGGCGTTGAATCGGGGTGCCGAAGCGTCCGAAACAAACACCAACACCTCCGAACTTCGAACCGAAGCGTCCGAAGAAGGAATTGGAGCGTTCGAGGAAGGTTTTGGTGCGTCCGAAAATAACATCAGGCCGTCCGGAAGGGTCCTCACTGCGTCCGGGCAAAGCGCCAAACCGTCCGGAAAAAGCACGGCGACGTCCGGGATCGAAACGGGGGCGTCCGAAGGAGACACCAGCGCGTCCGGGAAAGCTGCCACGTGGACTCCTGACGTCCTCGCTGAGATCATCACGTACCAGCGGCGGTCGCTGCTGCAGGCGCCGGCTGCCGGGGGCGTCCCGGAGCTGACCCCGGTCGAGTTTTCGTACCTGCAGCAGTGGACGGCAGGCTTCCTGAGTGCCCGGGTGAACAACCCGGGGGGGCACGCGGAGTGAGTTTGTGACTGAACTTCGACATTTCGCATCTGCTCTTTACGGGACTCGTCGAAGTCTGATGGGTCCGTGACGTTGCAGGCTGTCAGACGGTTTGCACATCTCCCGTATCTGCAGCAGTGAACGGCAGGCTCTCGGTTGAACAACCCGGTGGGGCAGGCCGAGTAAGATTCGCGGATTGAATAGACTTCGTCGAGATTATTGAACCAAAAATGTGCGAATTGACCGTGTGTCGTTCTCCTAGGGTTGTCAACGGTCCGACAGCTTCCAGTACTCCGCCTCTGGCAGCCTTTCGGAGAGCTTGCTTCGGATGCATCAGAGGCTTTCATTGACGACGAGATTCTCAGCATTGCCAGAGCCTCGAGCGCGAAACCCCCTAAAGACGCCTGCTAACTAGCCAGCTTTCCCCTGCAGGTTTCGCCAATTGCGTCGCCTGTCCATTAGTGTGGATAACCGGTACTGTGACGGCCATTCTGAAGGCCTCTTTCTGCAGCCGGAGTCTGATTGACTAGCAACTAATCCAAAATTGGTACGATTGTCGAACCCCCTCGAGACTCTTCTAACCAGCCACCGTTCCCCTGCAGGTTCCGTCAGTTTTGGCGCGCGCTCATCTGGGCCGTCGTCTTCCTCATCGTCCTCACTTTCCTGCACACTCTCCTCTTCGCCGTGTGGCGCGCACGCGTGCGCGGGCGCAATTTGGCCACCGGGGCGCTCCTCCACCCGCGCTTCGAGCTGTTCTTGGTGGCGGTAACGGTGGCGGGGATCGCGCACTCTAGTTCGATCGTCATCGCGGGGACGTCCGCGTGGGGCCTCGGGCTGGGGCTCGCGCTTCTAGTTCTCTGGCCGGGGCTGTTCGTCGTCTGGATGCTGCTGTTCCTGTGGATCAAAGTCGTGCGGGTGAGTTTGGAAACTCGTCCTCCTCTTTCGTCCTTTCGACGCCAAGGCAAAGTTCCTCATCATTCCTCTTTTTCGAAGTTCTAACTTTTGTGAGAAGCTGCTCGTGGTTCAGATGTGCTTTCTGTGCATTTGATAATGAGGCCCGGTAACCTCTTCCATCTTCGACTATTCAAAACCGAGGCAGAATTTGGAAAGCGCCTGCATTCGCCATACGATGGCCATCCGCTGGGCAGATTGTGCGCTATTACTCTGCGTGCGTTTCTTCCCGCCGCCCTTTGCACGTCCTTGAGACTTCGCTCTAAACCCTCACCTGAAAAGCCTCACTTTAAACTTCCGAATTTGGCATCCTCTCAGGGCGAGCGAGTTGGTTATTTCCTGGCCAGCGTAGATGAGGACGGGGCGCCCAAAGGGGGGAGATTCCAGCGGCTGTTGTCGAGAAAGCGACCGGGGAAAGGGTACTGGGTCTCGATACAACCGGGGGAAACGAAGTGAGCAGACCCCTTGTGTTTCCTTTTTTCCGCCATCTTGCATTCCTTTTTCGTGGTGCACTTAGAAAAGAACGGTTTGCATGAGTCTGGAGTAAAGCATGGGTTCGACGAGAAGTGGGCTGATAGCCGACCCAATCTCTTCGAGAAACGTTTGAACAGTCGACTTAGGGACATGCGTCACCCCTCCCCACAACAGTCTTTGAAACCTTAGTAAATGTATAACCCGCCCTTCCGAGAAGACGTTCTTCTGATCTAGATGCCGAACTTTGGCCACCTACCAGACGCATGCGCAAGCTCGCAGAGTCGAGCCTTCGTTCCCGGATGCCACAGATTTCTAGCAGCGCATGTTGCATGCTGTGTTTACGACATCTCCTTTGGATCAATCGTGACGTCTTCACTGACGTCATCGACTCCCTCTCCGCAGGTTCTTGTCGCGATGGGGCAGTCTCTTCGAGGACACCCGCGGGCTGGCCGTCGTCTCCGATCCGTCTTCCGCTCCGTATTTCCCGACCGGAACCGGAACGAATACCCCACAGAAAACGCCGCCTCGAACAGACGGGACCACGGGTGCTGACGTAGGGCGGGGGGGTACGAATAAGGAGCGGCGCGCCTCGAGGGCGCGCGTATCTTATCGCGTCATCGAGCTGACGCGCGTGATAGCGTATGCCATTCTGCTGGGGGCGTTTGGGAGCTCGCAGCACAGCTTGGGTCAGGTTGTGGCGGTGCTGGCGGTGTCAATCGTGCAGGTCTTCCTCCTGATATTGATACGGGTGAGCCGATTGACACTCTCAAAGGAGGTTCTGCCAGATAAGGACAAGAACTTTCCCCAATTTTAGGTGTTCATTAAACGTGTACGCCGACAATGAATAGACCTTCGCTGCTGTCACTGCTTCGCTGTAGCGGCCATGTTTTCGTTCTCCGCCTTTTTCTTGATGCAACAAATTTTGAGAGGCGGCTGCTTCGATGAACATAAGAGCTGCGGTTTTCTCAAGTGCCCTCCCCGCTTATACTGTCCGCTTATGCACCTTGCAGCCGTTCATAAGCCGGCGGCTCCAATTCGTGGAGACGCTATCGTGCGCGTGCGAGGTGGGCATCTTCGTGTGCGCGCTCGTTTTCCTCCAGGCGCCCAACGGCGTCCACCAGAGCGGCATCGCCTGGGCCATGGTCGCCCTCTTCCTGCTCAGCCTCGCGGCGCAACTCGTGAACCAGTAAGTCCCTTCTGCTGAAAGTTTGAGGCCTTGGCTGACGATCCGCCTTTTTGTGATGTCAAGATGACGTCATCGCTTTTGGGCGATCGAACCAGCGACAGTGATGCACGGAATAGCAGACTGTGGCAGTAGTAAAGGACCCTTGAAAAACCGCTCTTGATCCGGACGCAGAAAGAAAACTGCCTGTACGCTTCTTCTATGGAACTCTTTTGCTGTTTACTACTCTGGGGTAGCCGTACTCTGCTCTGAAACCTTTGGTATGAAAAGTTTTAAAGATGTCGTAGCAGCGGAGCACATTACCTTCGTCCCTAGAAAGTGGTCAATTTTCTCGCGTAGGCTCATTTGAAATCATCCTCTTCAAAGAAGAAGAAGTTATTCCCTCAACCCAATTCATCCTTTCGACCCTCGAATGTTCGCATATTCGCTGATTGGAGTTTACCACCCATCCGGTCCTGATCAAGTCCGCTTTCTGACCGCTTGACACTCTTCCCTTCCTGCAGACTCGTGGCACTCTTCCAGCAACTAGCCGGCGTCAGGCGGCCCCCGGCCTCGTCGTGTGACGATCTGCCCGGTACGGTCAACCGGCCAGGTGACACTGAGTGGGCCACGCCAGAACCCTCCCGTCACTCCTCTCGCACCGGGAGCGAACGACCAGACAGTCCTGACATTTTTGACGACCCACAATCGCCGGAGACGCCCCTTAGAGTGAACCGAACCGCCCGGGCTATAAGCTTTGAATAGGACTGAGATTGCCAGGCGGATCCGGGGGGGGTAGTGACCGAACAGTGGGGGAGGCGCGATCTCTGGAAAAAGCGGTCGGGGTCCGTAGACCGACCAAAGATCTCGAAAGGGGACGGCCGGAAGAGACGGGCCGTTGTCTGTGAGCGGATATGAGTCGCTCTCTTGAAAGACCGCTGGACGAAAGGGACACGGGGATTGCAGGGTGGCCCTGTGTTTCGAGCGGGAGATTGACACCCCATGTGGGTTACAGTCTAGGGGGTTGCGGCCTCCATTCTCCCTAAGGCCATACCTATCTCCGTTCGCACTGGTCGTGGAACGGTCTTTTGCCTGTCAAGTGATAGAGGCTTTGAGGCGTTGAAGCGCTTTTGTAGGACTGCCATGATATCCGTGCCTCTGTAGTTAGGACTGCGTTTTTATGAGAGTGTTTCGTTGTCGACTGTCAGGAGCAGGCTAGAGTCTTCGGTTAGGAACGGTCTGATTCAATGACATATTTATTAGTTGCACGTCACGTTGAGAGATCCTCCGTACCAAGCTTACTATAGCTGTGCGTACCTTGACCCGTACAGCCATCTTCAATGAACTTGTTACTCTGCACTCACCACTCACCAACACGTTTACACTGTACAGCATAAGTTAGAGATGCACACAATTCCCAATCTCATCATCGTACAGTGGTTTATACGGTGCTGGCGGCACTAAAGTCGATCTGCGATTCGTGCGGAAGCTAGCTCCATGTTCCGAAGTTCCGCATGCGTACTGTGTGCAACCATGGCAATGATGCTACACGTTGCCGATAGCTAGTTCATGGTCGGCCTCAACATCTTGAACAACCAGGCTTATAAGAGCGCTTGGTTCCAGTTGAACATATGATAGCAATCTTTATACCGGGCCATGGCGTGCATGATAGATGGCGCCCCGGCATGGCCGCATGGTAGTAGCAAGCCCAGTGTTTCTTCATATGCACTCGCTGACCACCAGGTATAATTCTCTAGGCTAGCCTGCAGACATAAACAAATTCCCACATGTATCATTGGTTTAACAGTCGATCAAGGCGGCGCTCCCGTGATGCATATCTCAACGTAAAATCGTGACACATAGCGTGCATCGAAGTACACAACGTGTGTCGGAGTCACTTGCCAATCATAAGTGACGCGTTAGTATGCAATACTTGCATTAATTAACTTAATCATATGCCATGCCTAATTTACGGGTTTCAATGCTACAGGCCGCTTACAGTGTACAGAACTATATGTATCATCGCCAGCAGACTCAAACGCTGGCATGCCATGATCCTCAAAAGGCACAAGATGGCTGGCAGCTGCTGTGGTTACAAACATATATGCAATGTAGGTTGGTGGGGGCTTTCGCTGTATGGCAGTGCCGCTGCTATAGTCGATAAGTAAATTCGAACAATGGAATCGAATTGTCCTGTTCGTAATCGATCCTGCGCAATGATGACCGGGCGCAAAGGCTAGCGGGGCCCGCATGCTATTTGCTGAATCATCAAGTGGCGATGTCCCCAAGGCGCGGCCCTGGGAAATTAACCAGGAGAGATAAAACGCCGGACCGGACGCTGACAAATGTCCTCTTACGGTCTGTCAACAGCACATTCTGAAAGTGCTACAATCGAGCAAAGTCTGCATACTCAAAATGTGTTTCACGCCGAGTAAATAAGTTCAGTGCACGCGACTAGCCTGCAGATCTATTTTAGTTGCGTAGGTGTTTTGCGACTTGCCACTGCATGTGCACCATAAGCATGCCACTTAGACAGCCTTAGCCCTACTGTTCAACGCAAGAACAGGTATGAAGAATCGCTTTATTTTTGCTAATGCTTTCACACCTGGGTTGCTCCGCCGCTGACCTTTATTGCACAACTCTACCTTTGACAGTCGGCAAGACGTTGACTTGTTTTTGTGGAGGAAGACCTACTCGCGCAATGAGCTTGCAAAGCTATCTACCACTTGCCCTTCTCTGACACAATCCGGAAGTGCTCGGCGATCGAGTGCCCAGAACTCTGAACAGGCGTCATGTACAAACTCCCCTGAAATCATAAGAAAAGTACTCACAAACTTGACCGTGATGCGTTATCCTTTTTCCATGTAATCATTGCTTGCTTTAAAGTGCATTCAAGCAGAGACTCTGTCAGTGGAGAGAGTTGCGACAAGAACATTGCAGCACATGGATACGCGCCATATCATGTTCAAAAAAGGGAAACGTTCCTCCACTCTTGTTTTGCAAGATTCTGGAAGAGACACAAGGTATCTTTGAGAATCTATGGAAAACATGTCAGATTAAGTAGGTGACCAAAACCAGTACAGAAGAACGGCTCACCTTTCGCAACAGTTTGTCCTGTGTTTCATAAATGAACACCCCCTTGACATTGACTTTGTTCTCTGCATCCTGCAGACTGCACTCCACAAACCCCGTAACCCGCCCCGGGCCTTCTTGCTTAAAAGCGGTCCGGTGAACAGTGTACTTCACGCTCTTGAACTTGGACAACGCCTCATAATTTCTCAACACCTGCAAGGAGAAGGGTGAGATTTAAGCTCTTGAATTGAAGACAGGCCAGATAATTTTCGGATCTGAAGCTTTAAGGGCAAGCGAATGGTCAACAGGATCCTGGCATGAAAGCCAATGTGACATCCCCGGTTAAAGAAAGTCTGCAACGAACGAAGTCTCACAAACCTATTTGTCCGGTGCATTCAATTCTTGTCCTGCACAGTTTGTACAGACTCGTCGTAGAGATCAGGGAGGAAGGAAAGACCATGCATAAGGAATTTTGATACATGCTAACAAATGACACTGAGATCTGCAAGAGTCACACAGCAGAGTAAAAGGCCTCAAGTTTCAACTTGTGTTGGTGAATCTCGTAGTCTCTCTCAAAAGCACCTCACAAGTAAAGAGCGGCGCTCCTTGCTTTCAAATCTGAAACATACCGAGTTCGTCACGATTCAAAGAACGCCGACAGGATTATTGATCAGCAGCTCAGGCCCTGAACTCTTTCAAAGAGTGATTGTGACTGGAGGATTCCTGATTTTTTTGTGAATCTCCCTGTTGCCTACAAAGTAGAACCTTTTTTCAGGAGTTGGTCACTGCGAGATCAACCGCTGCATTTGCCACATTCAAGTACCTGAAGTAACAACAACGACGACATGCCATGGTTTTGCCCAGGGCTTGAAAATTCTTAGCAAAAAGGAGCGAGCAAGTAGCTGCAAGCTGCATCTTGCAGCAGACTGTTGATATCAGGACAATAGGCTGTCAAGGTTGGCATCTTAAGGTGGCCAGGAGTTGTGACTGGTTACCTGTTCCCCTCCTTTGAAGTTCCTTGTTGGGTAGCACGGCTGCTCCGACTCGTAGTCTGGATGGAACATCTTCAGCAGCCTATCAGAATCCTTATCATTGACAGCCTCGAAGAAGTCGAGAATCAGCTGTTCCTCGGGGCAAGGTGGAGGATCACTGAAAGTCCCCATCACTCGAGAGGACTCTGAGTAGAGAGACAGTATCTGACTGCCGTGATGGAAATGCTACAGTAGGTCTGCCAGCTCAAAAGTAATTTCAATGTCGGCACTGAGAAACCCTACTGAAGATCTCCAAGTCTTTCAAGACCAGCAATTGGGGCAATTGATAAGAACTTCTGCTGATACACAGCAGCAATGCCACCGGTCTCCTTGCATTCCTCTCAGTCCGAATCACTGCCAGACCTTCCTGTCGGTTATGCTTCTGGCCACAGTGAAAGTACGTGGATCTTGAAAGGGGCAACCCAGAATGCTGCCAAACCTTAATCCGAAAGTGGTTCAGATTTTCAATACAGGAAGCTCTGACACTCTTAAGCCGTGACAGCCTGCCAATAAACTCTGATGCAACCCCCTCAAACGAAACAACTAAGAAGCTGGTGTTCGCTCGTACCGCTGCCGAATCAAAAGCGCGCCGCGACAGCAATGCCACTGCTAGAGCTCCATGCAGCTTGCATCCAATTGACCTGAACAGCTGCTTTCCCCCTATTTTACGTCCACATTGCACAGCTTCCCTGGCAACTTCTTTTGGCGCCCCCAATGCAGCAAGAATGGGATTGGAACTGGTGCCATCATTCCAAAGAAGGAAGGGGGATTCCTGATATGATGACTGCGTACGGATGGTCACGAACAGCCATCATTACATCCACATAATCCAGATATATCCGGACCGTCGATTACTCAAAGCACGTGGACCACGGGGCTCGGGCAAGCCTTGGTCGTGGAATGATCTCGGACCCCTGTCCGGGACGACAGCGTGTAAATGCACGTGGGCACACCAAAGGGCCCCCATGGCGGATGAAACTAGGATGAAACTCAAGAAAGATACCTTTAACTTTTAAGTACCGAAAAGTAAGCCAAGATAATAATAAGCTCCGACTAACACTAAAAGCCCTAACCCAGGAAGACACCCGCTCCGCACCCGTACCCACCCTAACCCCCAAACTAACCCTACGGTTACCATATTACTATCTCGGCTTACTGTTATTCTTGAATTTGATCCATGGTCGCGCTATAGCTTATCCCAGCTTCTCGGTGGAAGTGCTCGTACTAACCTTTTTGCAGTGCAAAGTTCACGCAGCACAACGTACATTGCGGAACAACCTGATGGCATATGAGGTACGGCTCGACCTTCTCATTGAAGATTGTTCAATTGTATAGGCTGCGGAACGATTGTCATCCTGTCCAAACCTTGTATGGATTCGATATCTGTACTTTTTTCCATATTTGACCATGTCAACATGCGCCATGGTCTACGAAAATGTTGGTTCCTGGCTTGCGGCAGCTCGAGCTGATTTGACAGTCTCTCTTTATCGGTACCTACTTTGCGTCGGCTCAGATCAGCTCTTACAAACTTCCGGAACTGATCATTACTTCTTCGGAGCAACCCGAGCTACTTGTAATGATTCTGCTTATTACTTTTACCGAATTCTTTCACCGTCGAAGTATTCAACGGATAGTGCTTCAACCTGGCGGCTACTTAATGTTTATGCAGTGCATGCGTGCTAATATTTGCGTGCGTGATAGCCTATGCTTGTGTACAGTGCAAGACATGTGGCCGGCCCTCTTTAAAAGGGGCATGCTCTCCCTGCGAGAGCAATTAACGGCTCGGGCACCATCCGTCGTCTGGCTGGACGTGCCGCTGGCCACCCGCCTTCATCGATGCCTTCATAGAGAACGGCCAGGACTGCCTCCATGAGATCGTCTTTACCGCCGCGCAATGGGTCCTGCACGGGCACACACGTTGGGGTTGAGAAGAAATGATGATGTCGAAAGTCAATAAAGTCCAGAATTCCTCTCGCTGATTGAGGCGCAAATCTATTTGACGGACGCATAATCCTAGACAAAGAACGAACCATTAAACTGGCGCAATTGTTCCGGACAAGATGACGAAGATTTTACTTGACAAAACGTCAGGGCCCGGGGGCATGTGTAGACAGCATACGAGCTCGATGGGTTGATGCGTAAGCTTAAAGTGGGCGTGGGACCCGCGGGTCCCGTTTTGATCGTACGCCCAGGATTCCATCGGCTCGATCGGTGCCCCATCCATCGAACGGTCGCGATTGCTAGTGACATCAGAAAGTCGTCAGCGTACCGGGGTGCGTAGGTACGGTACTTTGGGAGCTAGAGGTACCGCCGAGGCTGTATGACGTCACGGAATGCTTTGCCCGGTACAGTCAAAATAATTGTGAATCTAGCCGTTCGATCAGCCCCATATTTCCTTGAACAATCTGAGATCGTCGGATGGCCTGTCTGGGCTCAAATCAGGTGCCCGGTAGGGCCCCAAAAGCATGCCTAAATAGCTGGGTGCGGCAAAAAAGAAGAAGCAAAGTAGCAATTCTGTGGTTCGAACGCGGGACCTCGGACTTTTTGGCCAAGTCTAGGCGAGCGCGCTAGCCACCTGAGCTACAGCGACTCGGCCGAAACCCGATTTGGTCTGAAAAATACCGGTTTTATACCCCGACGCCCACTTTAACACCTTCGATCTGGCGCCGTCACAGTGTCATAGAAATAGCAATCTGCCCCGCTGAAAATTGCCCCGCTGACAATTGATTTGTGTGAGCAGCAGTCTGGAGCAATACACCAAGAGTGAGCCATGGGTGAATGGCAACTCCTACTTACACAGCCGCTTGCCCGTGGATTTCGGAACGAACAACAGTGTGTAGGAGAGAGAAATGCTGCTTGACTCCTGAAAAGACGGCTCACCGTCGCAAGACGCATTGAGGAAGTCTTAGAGAGATTGAACCTCTCCGCAGAAGGTCAACACATTAGTGAAACAAGGAATTGCTGACAACATTCGACGGCTAGAACCAATCAAACAGCAGATGCTCGACAGATCGAGGAAGAAAGGTCAGCAGTACACAGAGATGACAAACAAAGAATCAGGAAAAAGGAAAAAAGATAGATGAAGCAAGATTGAAGGAGAAAAGCGAGTGTTACAACAAACCTGGATGATTGGGTCAGTGTGCGACTTGCCAACGAAGATGCGCGTGGTTGCTGCAATCCCATGCTTCTTCAGCTTCTCAGCAAAGCGCTCGCTGCAAGGCAACAGATCTTTGTGAATAAATCCTCAAACGCGGACGAGCGACCGTGGTGTCAAACTTGCAGGCATATCCGGACTGCTTACAGCTCAAGCCAACCAGAAAGTCGACCTCTTCTTCCCCCGTCCGGCCAAACGCCGCAACAAGCCTAAAACATAATCGTGGTCATTTGAGCATGGATCAACCAGCACGAACAAGTGCAAGACATGGATGCGACTGTACAGCGGGATCCAACCACTGTCGGATGCTAGCAAAACAGCCAGCTGACTGTGTCTTGCTCTCCGGTTAATTTAATCACGTGTACCAACACCAAATGCATGTAGAGAACGCTTAACGCTCACTACTTAAGGAAAGAATTAGCTATACTAAGTGGGCTTTAAGAAGGAAGAAAGCGGCACCTTGCTTGGTGAGGTATGGACTTGTCGCGCGTCCCATGCAGCAGTGTCACAGGGGGCACCAGCTTGGCTGCGTTTTCGCTCCCGGCAAAAGCCTTTGACTCAAGGATTGCCTCCGGCGAAAAAAAGGGCATGACCTCCTTCCCGTCCATGATCCTGGCGGAACATGACACGTGTTTTAATTCCATGCGTTCAAGATCGCATAAATTTCACAATCATAGGCAAGGGCTTCTGACGGTAAGCACGTTCACTTTGTTCGACGGTGGAGTGCTTACGGGCTCTGAAATCATGCAGCACGCAGAAGCGCACGTGACACGCACTGCAATAGGGATTGCGCAAGAGTCCCATGTCGGGAGAGAGCCCTCACTTTTCAAAGATTGAGCGATACAACCCTTGTTCGTGGAAGTGGTCCATCAACTCGTGCAGATTGTACCTGCACCGACAAACGTACATCGTAAGAAATCTGTACTCTCTCGAAGCTGCTGTGCAGCGACCTAAGTGGATCCATCAACCACAAAGCTAAACTATCAGACGAACGAGCCTAGTCAAATACCTGCAACCTCTGGACGCAAATTCGAACTCCTGCGAGACCCTCTACAAACCGTCCCTGCAATTGGCCACAGCAGAAGGGGGCGGAATCCGCAAACGGCTGGTTCAAACCATAAGGAAAGCATTTCTCGAAGCACTTGAAAGGAGGCTCTGAACGGCCGACTCTAGACCGCTTTTCGCCAAGCCCTGCAAACTTCAGAAGAGCACTTCACACGCAACAGAGCACTTCACATGCTGGAACACCGGAATAAGAGTACTCACAGTGGGCTTAAAGTGGGCATAGGACATGCACGTCCTTCAAAACTGATCGAAGGTGCAGGGGGTCCCAATTGGCCGTTCCGATCCAATCCGTCCAAAAAGACTCAGACTCGCTGAGTGTGCATCTCCCGAGCGTCGAAACTCAAGGCCTTCTTTGAAGAAGCTGGGCAAAGGCGCTTTGGGCTCTTACCCACCGGAAACGCCGACGAAGGCCCGAATCTGCTTCAGGCTCCAGTTCAGCCGCTCCAGCCCGTTCGCCTCTTTGATGGCGTGCTTCAGGAGCGCGAGCGAACCGAGGTGCGCGCCAGCCGACTGGCCCACCAATACGACCCTGCCGCAAAGTGCAAAATTCTATGAATTTTTTTTGTTTTGATTGACCTACTAAGATGTGGAAGACTCTGTGAGTTCCGTTTTTGCATGCGAGGAGTCACTTGACCTTCTGAGAAGAGCTGCGCGGGAGCGCGCCGCGTCCCTTTGTCCAGTCCACAGCGAAAAGCCACAAGTGGCGACCAAAGGAATCAGAGAACGCATAGGCGCGAGGGGGCATCCAAAAGTTAAGCTCGCTGTAAAGAGGCCATAAGCGCAAGGACAAATTCAAGCGTAAGAGAAGATTGCAGTTGAACAGAGAAAGAACCTACCTCCGCTGATTGGTACGAAAGCGCATACGAACGCCGCCGACTAACTACGCATTCCCGCACCCATGCAAATCAACGTGACTTCAATCTCAAGAGATAAAAGTGTATGATTCTTCCGCCGAGGCGACGCGTCTACATCGGAAGCACTAGCATCGACGAATGTCGAAAGAATGACAAGAACGGCATTCACTGGATGCAAGAAAACAGATGTCTGGGCCGTTCGGAAGAACAGAACGAAGAGTGCGAATATCCAAAGCTGAGAGGCTCACGACTGTGGATCTCCCCCGAGCTCGTTGGCCTTCTCCAGCACCCAGCTGATGCCGTTGCTGACGTCGAGCAGCATATCAATCACCGTTCCCTGCGGAAAGTTCCTGCAAACGCAGGGGGGGACTTTGAAGATAATTTGCCTCACAGACTGTTCGGCGGCTCAGGATCGCGGTTGAAATCGAGCGTCCTGCTACACGACCGTCCGGTCTTTTGTCTGCCGAAAGCAGAGGCCGTTTCTTTCGCAAAGTGAAATGCTCGCAGAGTGAAATGTTCGCTTTGACAAGAATTCCTGGAGACGCTCAGGTAATGCTCATCTCACGCGCTCAAAATGCAGCAACAGCTTTGACTGTGGACGCAGTCTACCGGCCAGATGCGGCTCTGATTTTGGAGTGAACCGTCATACGATTTTCGTTATGAGTAATTAGGATCAAGTCGAGAAGTTTTCTGGAATAACGAGCCACTTCAACGTCCGCACCCTCTTCCCACGAAATCTGAACCACATAGACTTGGGGCGTGACTCACCGATAGTCTAGGCAGGCGACGATCACCCCTCGTGCGGACAAGGATTGGCCCAGCAACGCCCCCCACGCTTTGTACCTGCACCGTGGACGTAGTCCTTTGAGTAAGGCCTAAGTATACCTGGCTAACTTTCTTTTGTTTAGGAAAGAAGGGAACGCTATTTTGAAATAAGGCCTTTGAGCAGCAGTCTCCTGTCTCGAAACGCATTGGCTGTAAGGGTGTCTCAGTCGTATGCAGCAAACATGGGACTGGAAAGACGAACCTCAATCATCCGCTCCGGTTTTATTTAGCAGCCTTCCCACCAACACAGGCGTGAAGACTTCACAGACTGCTTGGAGGCTTACGTCATCATTCTTTCCTGCCTGACCCTTTCTCAGGGCCGAACATGAGAGACTGTCCTGAAGGGTCCTAAACGATTTTGCACTCAGGGAATGGAAACAAGAACGGCTGTCGACACCTTTCCTTCAAAGTTCAACTGTTTTACGGAATGGCAGGATCCGTACTCAAGCAGATCTCAATGGTAGGCAGCTTACCCGATAATCCATGCGCCTCCAGTTATGAAGATGACCACTGGTCGCGGCTTGGTCCTATCCTCCGGAAAGTAAAGGTCAAGCCTGTTTCGTGGGTGTGGCCCGTACACAACGCTCCGCCAGACACGAGGCGATTGAAAGTAGTACCACCCAACTGGAAGAAGCAAGGCAAGAATGGAGAACGACTTGTAAGATCCGCCTTCGTTTTCTGGTCATTTCGTTTTCCAGTAAGCCCCGGGGGCCACGCAACATGAGCAGTACAAAAGCGCCAGGTCTTTCATCCTGAAACTCTGATGTCTACCATGCCATTCCAAACGGATTCGACCACTGAAGAGCAACTGGGAACAAGAAGTATTTCTGCTTCAGTGTATCCAAAACTATTTTATCATGACGCTTTGCAGATGCGCTTTGAGATGAACCATGCCACAAACACCGGCTAAGGCGTCAGTGCTTGTACATCAAGGAACAAAACTCTTTCATGTGAAGGCACTAGTGCGATTTCCAGAGCCTGATCATCCCAGGATGCAGCGAGGGGCAGCCTGACCTTGTGCGAAGCCTGGGGCCAGAAGCGCAGCATAGATAACGAGGAAGATCGCCTTCTGTATCCACTGGTAGCCAACCCTGTAAGAAGACAATGAAGCTCTCACCTAACGCACCTTTCGTTGCATGTGAGCATTGTTCTTTGTTCAGATGACTGTTTCCTTTGAGCGTCCCATCATATTCTGGAATTGCAGCCCGCAAAAGCAGTACAACGAGGGTCTGCTCTGATCCATATTGACCCACAATCATTCTACGATTATCTAACAGGGCCAGATATGATCTACCCTGTACATACAAAGGTAAGCCACAGAAGTCGGGCTTTGGATTGGGCGTCATCTCCAGAAATCTCAATTGAAAGGTGCCTCACAGCCCCTTTTAGGGGCAGTAATTGGGGCATACTCAGTTCCCATCGATGCAGGGTGGTGAGCATTCTGAAGCAAGCAGGTCTAAGGCTTAAAAGGATCCAAAACTTGGAGATCAAAGAGTGGGCAAAAAGGGATCCAAATGAAGAAAAGCAAGACGGAGGCAATAGAAAGAGACTTAACGTTCTTTCTAAACTTGATCTGATCACTCTGAACAAAGTAACTTTCAAATAATAGGCTGAGGAGCGCCGCAACAAAACAAGACCACAAGCGGAGCACACATGCAGGTTCAAAGCTGCCACACTGCAGAACACCGCCTAGTCAGCAAAGAACTTGCAACTGATCAAGGGGCTCTTCACCACTCACCCAAAAGATCTCAACAGAATGAAGGCCAGCCGTGTGATCAAGTAAGTTTCTGCAGCTGCATGAGCAATTTTGTTCCCTATCGTCATCGCTTTCTGCTCTGTCTCCGGGTCTAGATGCAAGCCCTGACACTTGCCCCCCAGGCTGACCCTCCTGTGCAGCAACCTATCAAGGCGGCTCACGTCTTCTGAGGATTTTCTTTTTAGCGGTGTGGGATTCACGGACTTTGTTCTGAGAAGATTGAGATCAAAGGTGTCCCCTTCCGCCGCATGCAGGCCATCGCGCACAGCGTCTGGGGGATCGTAAAGCCCTGCAGAAAAGGAAATGCTGGCAGACGTAGCCATCCTTGCCTGCAATCCTCGAGACATGGTGGAGTGTAGGCTGAACCTGAGGCTGTGTTGCCGTCACAGGCCCTCTTGCAAAGGACCTTGCATGCCTTTGAAACGTGCTGGCGCCCCTACCAGGCCTAAGGCTAAGGTCGTACCTACATTTGCATGGTCAGGGCCCAGGCCTGGCAGACACACTATAAAGCAACTGACATTGAGTATTAATTGAATATATATTTAGTGAAACGGCAACAATCACATCCATCCGTTGTAGTCTAGTCGGTTAGGATACGCGGCTCTCACCCGCGCGACCCGGGTTCAAATCCCGGCAACGGAAACCTTTTGCAAATTGCACCTCTAGCTTCTATAAAGACGACAGTGACATGAAAGCTTCCTGCTTTTCTCTTTTTCATCACCATTTCGTCATTTCGAAGCTGATTGCGTCATGCAACGAGATTCGTCTTAGACAGCCCCACGGGCCACCAGGTTTGAAATCACCATAGTATTATGGTGAATACTTGTTCTTGAAGCCGCCAGGTAAGGTAGGTACGTACTCCTGTCGGATGAAGCTGTACCACTGATGTCATTCATGTCGTTGCAAGCTGGCATGCTGCCGCAATGGTCAATATTCCAGAGTTCCCTACCGTCTAGCCACGCTCCGAAGAGGTACAATGAGTTGGCACTAGGCACATGCATGTCCGAATCTTGTTTTGCATGTGGAGTGGGATAGCGCGAGTGTTACAAACTTGTCGAACTTGAGACAAGAACCAAGCATGCATGCAAGTGGAAGCTCTATGAAATCAGCATCCCTTTGTCGTCGCATAGCAAGCTCTGACAAGCTGTTAGTGTTAACGAACAAACGTAGGTTTGATGGGGATTGGCTTCATGGCTTGATGTGTCTTTAAGGGCGTTTATGATTGAGAAGTTACCACGAGAAACTCCGCATCGCATACGTAGCACAGTTCAAAATGGTACGTCAGTCAATCTTATATAGGTAGTACACGCTCCTACATGCTGGCCTTTATGTTATAATGCATCAGAACAATAGCTACAGTATAGCATGCAAGTTTGGTAAAGATATACGATTGCATGTGAAAGCAGTGAGTCGCGACATTCAATGATTATGTTGCACAACAACCCAACAAAAGATCAATTCCATAGGAACCACAAACCTAAAAATCATGGCGCTAATTGAGCATATCGCCGCAACACCATGTATTCCAATGCTTGTATCTATCGGATAAACCCAATCACCATCAAGAAACTTATAAACGCAAAATACTCAACACGAGCATCAACTTTGTGCTTGTTGCCTCGAGTTTGTGTGCTTGTTACCTTGCCATCAAAACCGTTGAGGCGAAAATGTGAAGGCATCTTTATAAGAAGTGTTGGAAATCCGCTTTCCTTGTGTAGCACAAATCGCAACTCGTTAAATCTGCAAAATATGCATTATGAAGTCATGTTGGCCTACTTTTGTACACCCACAAGTACCTAAGCTCGAAGCTCTAAGCGAGTTGTAGTTCCTGCGACCTCCGCACGGCAGCCAAGTTCTCCTCCGGAATTTGCGTGTATTCTGAGAGAATGGCACGGAACTCATCTCCCGAGATGGTCTCCTTCTCGATCAAGATCTCCACGATCTTGTCCATGGCTTTCCTGCAAAGCAGAACGAACCAGATAGGATATTAAATTTCGGCAATCTATTCCCGGATCACAAGTGGTAGTCAAAGCACAATTGCCATTCAACTCCATCTGAACGAATTGACAAGATCAGCGACTCCTGTTGGTCTTATTGCTCCTGATTTCAGAACGTCACATACTCAGAGACCCTTCTCTAAATAGAAGGGTTCGTCTCTACAGACGAGTCTTTCAAAATTCAAGCTTCGAAACCGTTGCATTTATCATGACACCTAGGGCACCTACACACAAGGCCGTCTTCCTAAGCCTGAAGTTGCGAGTAATTCGTCTTCAATGACCAGGCCTGATAAAGAACGGACACAACAAAAAACAGCATAAGAAGCACAAAGGCAGGGTGCTGCAAACACCAACCTGTTCTCCTTGATCTGCTGCTTGGCCACCTCGTAGGCCTTGTCAGAGAGCTCCTTGACGGCGCGGTCGATGTCCTCGGCCAGCTTCTCGCTCATGTTGTTGCGGGCCATCATGCGCATGATCATGTCACCGCCCTGGGCGTTGGGGTCCTGCAGGTTCCAGGGGCCGATGTCCGACATGCCGAAAGCGACCACCATCTGCACAACACACGTGTACTCGTCAGGAATGGACGATGGGGACGCGGACGGGCCAGGATGGGAAACCAACAACGAGACAGTTGATACCCGGATGCTTTGCTTACCTTGGCAGGATCTACCAGCAGGCTTTGCTATGATACATTATCGTAAGCGATCAGCAACAAACAAGACACAGGAGTCGCAGGGGCGCCTGGACGATAAAACAAGCAAAAGAGGACAAGTTTACGATCACAACTAGAAGTATTCGCTCTGTCTCACAACAATTAGCACTGTAGCGGCCTCACTCGGCTAGTCCCACACAGGACGGACAGTCAGAAAACGGCAGTTAGGAAAGGCTTTTACCTCCCTGACAGCATGTAATCCTACGGACCCTCCTACCCTACCTTCCAAGTAAATCCTCACTCAATCTGACAGACTTTCCGAAAAAACACCGTGAGAGGATCCACTAGCTTCCAGCCTACCCACAGTCAAACTAAAGCAAGCATACACGCACCTGCTTGGCCATCCCAGTGACCTGCTGCAGGTCGCTGGCAGCTCCAGTGGTGACCTCAGGCTCGCCGAAAATAATCTCCTCCGCAGCCCTGCCGCCGAGAGCCCCCACAATCCGAGCGAAGATCTGAGACTTGGAGATGAGACTGGCGTCCTCGCCAGGCACGAACCAGGTCAGGCCGCGCGCCTGCCCACGGGGGATGAGAGTCACCTTCTGGACGGGGTCGTGGCCAGCCGTCAGTGTTCTGCAGGAGAGAAAGGCAAACAGTTTCAGAGGGAACACCGGACTCAAGAGGAAAGTGTAAACAAGATTCAATTGACATACCTTAATCCATAAGGTATTAATATTGAGTAGGGTACAAGGTAATACGCATAGATTAGATAGGAAGTAATGTCAAACCTCGTCACACGCATCCAAATAACAAAAAACAAAAGTTAGTGTTAACAACATCATTTGTATCCAACAGATGAAGACAGAAGGTAAAACTTGTGGAAGCAGACATGTAAAGACAGGATTGAGCAGGGTCTAATACGAACTGGGGGTGGATAGCAACAAAGAGCAGCAAATCTGCCTCCACTCATCTGCAATAAAAGATAGAAAGCCAAACCAAAACAGACACTGGGGAAGAGCATGGGGAGCATAATATGGTTGAAAACAAACGCCACCGGCAACAAGCGTTTCTCAAAGGGTAGGTTAGTTCTGGAAGGGGTTTACATGAGATTTGCAGGAAACGCAGCAGTGACCTGAAAAAGGAGCCCCAAGTCTAAATCTACCACCCAGAAGCTGACTCTGGCCATCGGCCAACTCCTCGAGCCCCTTTTGTAACCGTATACAGCAGTCATTCAAAGCCACAAAGTCTTCCTGACTGAAAGACAGATGCTGCTACTAATCATGTTGTTACTTGCGATGCTTCACAACGTGTGAAGCGCGCATACCCATCCTTTCTGTCCCACAGCCTCTATGTGGAAACCAACGCCAATCCATTACTCACCCGCAGATAGCGTGGCCCACTTCGTGGTATGCCACCAGACTCTTGCTCTTTCCGTCAGTCATCCGAGTGCCCTCCATACCGGCCACAATTCTGTCCACAGCATCGTCCACCTCCTGCAATAATGAAAAAAGGTGATTCAACCTTCTGATCACACACTGACCTTCTGAACTTCTGCTGCTTCTACTGGATATCTTCTTCTACTGGAAGCCTGGAAGAGCCTGAAACTTTCAGCCTGTCAACTTCTGTTCTCTTCTTTGGTCTGACAACCAACGGCCCATTGCATGAGCGACTCTGCGTCCATCTCAAGTAGTAAAGGAGCAAGCATATCAAGACATCATCCTGGGATACATTGGATATCGACCCTTGCATTGCAGCATGCAATCTGGCTTAGCGCCAGCCTGATAAAACTGAGGAAAACAATGCCTGTTACGAGCGAGCAAGAAGCGGAGCGATTCTCAAAAGCCAAGAAGCTGCCTGCTGACCTGCGCAGAGATGGCAGTCTTCCCTCTCCTGCCAGTGAGGATGGCAGCCTCGTTCAGGAGGTTGGCCAAATCTGCTCCACTGAAGCCGGGCGTCCGGGCAGCAATGACCTCAAGGCTGATGTCATCGGCCAGCTTCTTGTTAGAGGCGTGCACCTTAAGGATGTCGGTGCGGCCCCTGATGTCAGGAACGTCCACTGACACTTGCCTGCAACAGAAGAAGGACCCGAGCTCAAAACCCTAATCTGAAGATGCCTCAGAAGGAGCCCTTGATGTCAGTGCGCAAACTCCAACAGCTGACCATCCACACCACTGATCAACTAAAACACACCACCAGACAAGTGAGTGGCGCCAATAGTAAATACACTGCAAATCACTTGCGCCATGCATACAACATCAAGCAAAATCACCACCATGCAGATCAATATTTTGTCTTACAGAAAATGCACCATGCAGAGAACTCGAAAAGCGTACCTATCGAAACGCCCAGGCCGAAGCAGGGCAGCATCCAGGATGTCAGCTCTGTTGGTGGCAGCAATCACAATGACACCAGAGTTGCCCTCGAAACCGTCCATCTCTGTTAGCAGCTGGTTAAGGGTCTGTTCCCTCTCATCATTGCCACCGCCAATGCCGGTACCCCTGGACCGTCCAACGGCATCAATCTCGTCCACGAATACCTGAAGGAGATGTGCGTCAAGGGCTTGATACCATAATTCAGAAAAATAGGGTTCACTGACATCCAAGAGATATGCAGAACACAGCACAAAGAAACAAACAACGATTCAGAGAGACGCAAAGCAGAGGCTTGAAAAAGTGGTCCAGCAAGTATTGCAAAACATACAATTTTATCGGACCGACTCACGGACAAACTGACAATCCTAGCCAAAGTTGCATACAAGCATAGCAACTGGCAATGCTTCTTACAATGCATGGCGCGTTCTCCTTGGCCTTCTTGAAGAGGTCACGAACACGAGAAGCTCCAACACCAACAAACCTGCAAACGAGCGGCATCGTCAGCATTTTGCAAAGCCTTTGTCTGCAGGGCCTTCTGACTCAAACCGCTAGCATTAATAATGCCAAAGCATAGATTCTGACTTATACTGGTAGCATTTCCAACGCTAGAGCAGATTGCACGCATGAGCATCAGAAGTGCAGATGCAAGCTTTCACCAAACCTACCATGATGCAACCACCATCTTTGCATGCATCTACTATGTCAACTTACATCTCCACGAACTCGGATCCCGAGATGGAGAAGAACGGCACTCCAGCCTCCCCTGCAATTGCCTTGGCCAGGAGTGTCTTTCCCGTTCCAGGGGGTCCAACAAGAAGCACACCCTTGGGAATCTTGGCACCCACAGCGGTAAACCGCTCCGGCCTCTTCAGGAACTCCACAACCTCCTGGAAGTCCTGCTTTGCCTCATCAACCCCCGCCACGTCATCGAAGGTAACACCAGTGTTAGGCTCCATCTGGAACTTAGCCTTGCTTTTGCCGAAGGCCATAGGGTTGCCAGGGCCCCCAGGGCCACCGAGACCGCCCCCCCCAGACCGCCTGCTGAGCAGAAACAGGCCGCCGACCAGGAGCAGGGGGAAGGCAAGGTTACCCAGGATGTTGAAGAAGACGGAACCGGTGTCCTCTGAGGCGTTGTGGCTGGCAAAGTCAATGCTCTTCTCCCGGAACTTCTTCAGCAGCTCTTGGCTAAGCCCTGGCAGCTGCACACGCACCCGCTGCACCCGATTACCCAACTCAGGGCTGACGGCTTCGACAATCGCAATCGATCCCCCCTCGTACAAGTCCACCTTCTTAACCCGGTCCATGTCGAGGTACTCCAGGAAGCGAGAGTAGCTCATGCGAGATGACGCCACTCCCTGCTCCTCAGCAGCCCGCGCAGGCTTGGCCGCAGCCAGCGCGCCAGCAGCCCCAGCAGCCCCCAACAGACCCTTCAGAAAGTTGCGCTTCTCCTGGCTCTTGACGCCATCGCTGGATGCGCTCGCCCTGACGGAGCACCTCCCGCAGACTGACTTGAGCGCAGGGGACTTGCGAAGGAGGAGGCCGCCACCCAAGAATGGGGTGGGGCTCTGGAGGCTCTTAGAGCGAGCGGCAAGACCTGCAGCCGGGGCGACTGCACAGGTTCCTGCATGTACAGCAACTGAGGACGCCATCTTTACTTTGGTGCTCAAAACCAAGAAGGTCAACCTTGAACACCTACCGCTTCAGCAGGAAAAGGGGTTGTTGACGACCCTCAACCACCCAAGCTCGTCCTTCCTGCGAGCTGCTATACAACGTTTGGAAACTTTGAATGCATTCGTCGTCCTTGGAATTTGCGAGTTGTTGCAGCTTCAAAGCTGTCCAAGTCTTCTCTTGATCACTGATCAGACCCTAGCCGCATGGCAGCCCTGGCCGGTTCTCTTCTCCTCCCTCCAGACCGTGTTTACATGCAGCCGCAGACGGGCCAGCTTCAGGGTGTTAATGCGCTCATCCTGCCAGCGACGTGTTCCGCAGGCTTGCAAAAGACGGCGTGGGCAGGCTACAGCCGTCGATTGTGGATCGAACCCCAGATCGCTTGGTAGACGTGGCAGCACGCGATCGCTGCGATCCAGCGAGGGCCCGGGGCAGCACAGTCTTCTGCCGGGGCTGCAGAGAAGCAGACTCGGAGTCAGACTCAGAGGGATTCAGGGAGTCCGAGGGGCAGATGTTCTGAATTGTTGTTCGAAAGCAGAAGCTGAATGCCCGCAAGCCGAACTGTGAAGAATGCAGCAAGAAGCTTGAAGGCGAAAAGGAGGAAAGATTATTGAGGGTTCAGCAGGTAGGAGAGAAGAGGGCAAAAAGCAGTGAGGAGTGGTAGTGACAACAGACGCCTTATTATGCATCTGTAGGACCTTCACGAAAGGAAGCAGTCAAAGTGAGAGTACCACTTGTTCCTGGAAAGCAGCATCCTGCATTGTCCAAGCATGGCCGCGACAATGCATGCGTGCAGATGCTCGCTGCAAACGGGAGCAAGCCTTGGCCTAACTTCGCAGCGCACAACAAGGCACCAGGAAAGTTTTGCCGCCCTGCCGAAGCCTGTTAAATCAGAGGCGGTTGGCCGGAGTGCCTTCTTGGGGGCTCCCGCTGCTAAGCATGGCCAGTTTAGGAATGATATGGCAGTGCCTCAACAAGCACGAGTGGGAAAAGTGAGCGACGCTAGGAAAGGTGAGCTCCAGCGGAAGGTATCTGCTTGAATTTACCCGGTCTTCGAAGAATGCTGTATTTTGAGAAGAGTATGCGACTCGCTACCAGCTTCAGTTATTGGTAGCTCCAACACTGAATGGATGCAAGGCAAAGAGGGTGTGAGAATGAGACTTTGGGATCTGACCTGCATTGTGAGGGTTTGCTTTCCGGTGTTTGAACTTTGAAGTGGAAGTGGTCTAGCAGCATCCAGTTGAACTGCTGGTTGAGAGGAAAAGCACCTGACACTCTTATCCATATGGTTTTGTATTGCTCATGAAAATCTGAAGTGACATCCAAACCTGCATCCCGTCCAGTAAGATGTGAAGATTGAGCTGGAAGTTGATGGAGTGTTTGACTGAGCATGCTGCATTGGCAACTTGGTTCTCTGTGACCATTCGGATCTGCACTCTGTTCCACTATTCAGCTGCCAGCAAGCTTCTGAACAAGTCCTTCAAGTTGGCAAAGTTGGCCATAACTGCTGTCCCTCGGCAGGATTTTCACTGGTTCTGCTTTTTCTTTGCTCTCTCTGAGCTTCTCAGACCTTGTTAAGTGCAAGCGCAAATCGAAAGCGTCGCAATGCAGTGGAGCTTGCTTACTTACTGCACAGGCGGCTCCGTTTTAGGCAGGGCGAGGCTTTGGTCAGGGTCGGTGATCTTCTATAGATCAAAGTATCATAAAGTCTTGGGGAAATCATGCTTGATGCTCTGAAAAGCTGTCCACGCTTCCATCTAGGGTTCGTTGCATCTCTGTCCAAATAGCACCCACTGTAAAGTGACTAGGTACAAGCTCTGGAATTGTCTTAGACCCCTTTGGCAAGACACGAACTGGATCACGGCCCTAGTTCAACAGTGAATATTAGCAGTGGTGGCATTCTTGCTATCGCGACCGTTAAACAGACTCTTCGCACGTGCACATTTCTTAGGGCAGATGTTGCTGCCACTCACCGACCTAATCTAAGAACGTCGTCGCTTGTGCAGTTCAATGCGCAGCCGCTTCCACTGCTGCTGTCATGTCCGGCACTCCGGTCAGAAACACGAGCATCCTAGTTGTTGGTGCCACCGGCACCTTGGGGCGGCAGATTGTTCGGAGGGCGCTCGACGAGGGCTACGATGTCAGGTGCCTTGTGCGGCCCAGGCCGGTGTCTGCAGAGTTCCTCAGGGAGTGGGGGGCAACGACGGTGCAGGTAAGAAGCTCACTCTGGCAAAAGCTTACTGGTATATTCATTGGTTTCTGTGCAGGGCAGTTATCAAATTGTGTCTAGTTTACGATCATAGTCATTGAAGGCATTCAAGCACGCTCTTCTGTTAACCTGGGCCTGATAAGCCCTGTGCAGACCTTGGGGTTAAGAGGAAGTTTGTCAAGGGGCGGTAACCTGGAGGTTGCTGCATCAGTCAGCTCCAGCAGCTTGCTTCCAAAATGGACGGTGTCAAATGCTGCAAAGGAGAAGCAGACCTGGACATGACCGGCTGGCCAAACATGCGGCTCACATTTGCCTTGAGGCTTTGTAACAATGTTCACGGCTTCATTTGCGCTTCTCCTTTTGGAGAAAAGTGATCAGGCCCGGGTGGTCCCTTTCTACTGAACTTCATGATAGTCAATTCGATGCGACTGCAAGCTACATTGCTTCCTCGCGCACAAGTCAGGAGCGAAAATTGGACTGACGAGCTTGGCCGTGTTTTACAGGGCGACCTTACAAAGCCCGAGAGCCTGCCGGCGGCCCTGGTCGGTATCCACACCGTCATTGATTGCGCAACGGGGCGGCCAGAGGAGCCTATCAGAAAGGTGCGGAAGAGTTGGATTGTTCTTTTGGTGTACCATGACCCGGAAGTCATGAGAAGATTTTTGCACTCTGCGCCGGAGTCCCGCATTTTTGCTGGAGTTGACGTCCAGTATGGAACCCTGTTGAGTGCGGTTGGATCAGGCAAACAGGTCCCCCTTGTTTCGTATTGAGCAGGTTTACTGTCTTGATATGGCAGTTCAGAGAGGACTGACATTTTCCTGCGCCTGCACTGAGCCCTGTCCTGTCATCCATCTGATATAGAGGCCTCGTTACCAGGTGGACTATGGTGGCAGATAGTCTCTGAAGGCCCAACAACTCATGTACTCCACATCCGGCGGAACCGCTCTCTTCAATTATGTCGTTTACTCTGCTTTTCTCCTTGGGGCCGTTAGCAAAGTCCGCGCGTGCAGATCCCCCTTCATGTCTCGCTGCCAAATTCTATGGAAAGGTTAACTAGTCACTTGGCTGGGTCCCTGCTGCTCCCCGTAAAAAGGGGAGCACCTCGTCCCTTCCATTTCACTTATCCAATCCGAGATTCCGCTTCTTTTTCCAGGTGGACTGGGATGGCAAGGTCGCCCTGATCCAGTGCGCCAAGGCGTTGGGCATCCAGCGGTACGTGTTCTTCTCCATCCACAACTGCGACAAGCACCCCGAGGTGCCGCTCATGGAGATCAAGCGCTGCACCGAGGCCTACCTCGCGGACTCGGGCCTCGACTACACCGTCCTCCGCCTCTGCGGTTTCATGCAGGTAGGGATTGGAGAATGATGGAAAAATGAGAAACTGGCTTAGCTGTTGCCCTTGTTGCTGTCTATGCTTGGTGCTACCCATCAATGGACAGGGGTCTGCTTGCGGACCTGATTTTTCGTGAGTGATGATAAGCGTAAGCCGGGCTTACGTTCCTCCCCCGGTTTGCTAGAGTTGAAGATTCCCAGCAGTTATTCAGCTGGACTTGGTAGAAGATGCGCTGCTCAAGGACAACAGCAACTTTGACGTGCTTGTACAGAGATTGAAAGTCTCGATTCTGCAACTCACTCGTCAAACGGCAAGAAGGCATCTCGCAGCTGTGACTTTACAATCGTCATTTGGGTTTGGTCAGCTCCGTTGGTTCTATTTTGAATCCAAGTTCGGGACATCTTTCATTCAGCTTCCTTTCGATCTGCGATCTCAACCAAAGGCGGAGTAAATCCTGCACAATTTTGTAACTTGAATGCTCACCTGCAACAACGTCGACAAATAAAAATAGCCCAACGCCATCGCAGAAAGCTGTTTAGCTGACACGTTTTATATCTTGCATCTTCCAGGGCCTGATCAGCCAGTATGCCGTGCCAGTTCTCGAGGAGAAGGCTGTGTGGGGCACAGACGCTCCTACTAGAATTGCGTACACAGACGCTCAGGTAAACCTCCTGTCACAGAGTTGGCTGATGAACGGGAAGGCAAGGCATGAATGCTTCGTCGATTCAACGGACATCTTGGTTCTCTACATTAGTAAACAGCCGTTGCACCTGTCTTCATGAGATTCTGCACTTTCTTCTTTGTCCGGTACCCCACAGATTCTCTTTTCTGGAAGAAGCGGCCTTGCCAGGGCGAGCATGCGCAAGATAAGTGCACCAACGGTTTGCAATCTCTTATCGTGCAGGATGTTGCCAAGTGGACGCTCGCTGCGCTTCGATCCGAGAAGTTCGAGAAGCAGGTTGCCACGCTAGCAGGGCCCCGCGCCTTCACCACCCAGGAGGTAAGCGCTCCCATTTTCAGGGTGCTCTGAGTTCCGGGGCTTCAGGCTTTTGGTGATCGGTGTATATTGAATCGGATGGTCGTCGGGACTTTTGCGGCTGTGTTTCAGAGACATCGTCGGGTGACGCTTTCCATTCTCATCAATGGAATGGAATCATTGTGAATAGTCACTTGCTCGAGCTGACGAAAAGGGTATTAGGAGAACGAAATCTCACGATTGACAGGAATACCAGGTTTCGTGGAGAGTAGCGCGCTGTGTGAGCTCAACGCCGGAAGTTTGTGCATAATCAAATGTAACGCTCAGTTGAATGCATCATTACGGTCCTTTGAAGGAAGAAGACGAGCTGCAAAGCAACATTGCCCTTCGTGCAGATCATCACGCCGTGTGAGCTGCTCGCCTGGGGCAGGACGCCAAGATTGTTCATAAGAAATTGCCCTCCGTTCTTTCGCATGTTGGTATACGAAATAAGGAATGGTCAAGCTAGATAAAATCCGACCCTCTGCAGATCATTGCGCTGTGCGAGCGGTTCGCCGGGCAGGATGCGAAGGTGACAACGGTGCCGCTGGGGATCCTGCGGGTGACGCGCGCGATCACGCGCCTCTTCCAGTGGACCACCGACGCGGCGGACCGGCTTGCCTTCTCAGAGGTACGGACCGCCACACTTTATTTGTCTCGATGTTGCGCCACGTTGCTTGATCTCATGGCGGTTGGGAAGTGTTTCATGCTTCCGAAGGAAGTTGAGGAGTAGAGCATTGGTAGTTCTGGCCTGCTGTTGAGGTGTGGGCTTTATGCAACAAGAATGGACTTGCGGAATAGGGAAACCGGGCTATTTGACGAAGTGAGTCCGTTCTGCTGGTAAGGGCGCTTCAAACACCACGAGATCGGGGCAGGATGGAGCGGGGCTCTGTCCACTTAAATGACATATGTCGTTCTCATCAGCAGACCGGATATGCATACAGGGATCCAAACACGTAGTAGACCGCACGTTGCTGTTGTGGACGCTGCTGTTGTGGTTGTTTTGTAGCTTGTCTGGCGGCTGCTTCGGAAGCCATCGACCGACCAGGTTTGAGAGAATATTTTCAGGTTGAGCATCTGCATGGCTGGCAATCTAAGCTGCTCAGCGGCGGATGAAAGTAGATGGTTCTCCCAGAGTCCAACACAGTTCGTTTTGATCGTCCCGATTGGCGCTGAGCAGGGCCTCGGAGCAGTTCTGGCCACGTCGACGGCGTAGTCACGCTCTAAGACCCGCTGGGGTGACACAAGAAGGTCGGGCTTACTCGTCGGGCGCTGTAGAGGCTGCTATTAAGGAAGCAGCTGAACAGACTTTGTTGGCGCAGGTATTGACGAGTGATACCGTCTTCTCGGCCCCGATGACCGAGACATTCAAGGCCCTAGGAGTCGACCCACTCGAGACGACCACTCTAGAAAAGTGAGCCAACCCTCTCAGGGATTGTAGCTCCTCGCCTATCATCAGATTTCTCCTTGGTTTCCTGCCGCTTGCCTTTGCTGTGGTTGTGATTGGGCGACGAAGCTCAGGCCTCGTATTGATTGATTGGTCGAGTGCCATTTGATATCTGAACCGAGTTGTCATATGCTTCTCAAGAGGCTTCGGACCATTGCTTCAGAGCTGACCCTTCTTTCTTGCTTCCAGGTATCTCCAAGAGTACTACGGTCAGATCTTGAAAAAGTTGAAGGACTTGAAAGCAGGTAGTAGACAAGGTGACTTCTATATCTAACATTCCAGCGTCACATCTTGGTAGGGCCAGTAGAGACTGGATCTTTGCGTTCTTGCAGCGAGTGTTTGCGGGCTGTGTGGCCCAAGGTGATTGGAAAGTGAGGTTGAGTAATTTCAGTGTATCAAAACACTGCGTTGAAGTCCTGTTGACAGGATCTTACAGCTGCTTTCGTGGACGGTTGTATTTTCTTGCGAGCTGATATAGCTCAGCCTCCATCAGCGAGCGGATGCTTCTCAGACATGCCGTCCGTGCTATAAGCTGTAACTCGCACGAAAATCTCGTATTGGCGATATACCCTAAGTTCAGCGCTGTATTGTACATTGATGTCAGAGGGAAACATGCCTGATCCTGCCACGCCTAGCATTGCCGTTCTTGGCGCCATTAGAACTCAGCGCACCCTCGTGCTTTCAAAAGCCTCGAAGCTCCATCGTCAAGCAGCTCCTCTCAACGTGTTACTTGCACATACACATGCACGTCAAGCGGGCCAGAGCCCAACTAGCGGGACGGTAAATCCTTGGGCTATACATAGCTCTTATTGGATCAAAGCTAAGTATGTCGAGCTAGGCCATAACGAAGTTGCACGTTCCCATGAATGGCCGCGCGGCTGACCGACTTTTTATGAACTCCGCCCGAATCAGAATGGTACTACCGTACCATATAATGTCACTCAGTCCGCGGATCGATAACGCAATGAATTAGATTCAAGCATGCCATCATTGCTGCAACGTTTAGCATAGCAGCTAGTGAAGCAGACCGTCGCCACCATAGCGCGAGGGCCGGGTTCCAGCTGAGCTATACTAAGTCCGGTGATACATGCACTGCAAGCCGGCCTTTTGATGCATGTCAACGTGTCATGAACCATGAACACTTCAAGTGGAGTCCACAATAGAATTGGAACACGTGCTTGACGGTCGTGCCAGTGTCTCACTTCTGGCAAGCAATTGTGGAAGATATGATGGCAATCGAGGCGCACTTGGGGCACTCCGTAGAACGGTTTGTATACCTGCTCATGAAGTAGGGTATGTGGCTCCACAACCAGCCTACAATTGATAATCTTGTTCGCGGATCAAGATCTGTATACTTTTCATGGTCACTCCATGGCCTGTTTGCTCCCAGCTGATTCAAGTACACCATGTGATCGGGTGTTCCTCTTGCTATCTCTCGGTGCACCGGACCGGTGGTTTGAAACCTAAGTCGTCGACTTCCTCTGAGAAGAAACACCATATGAGAGCGTTTTGTCTTTTCATCACGATGTGACTGTACAAGGTCTTTTCAAGCTTTTGTTCTTTCTAGCACTGTGAGTTACTCTATTTCGGGCACGTCGCATACGTGTTGAATGTGCCGTCGGTGGAAGGTACAATGAAGACCCGGCTGAATGTCTACCTGTTCGTTGCCTTATGTGCATGGCTAAAAGTTTACATGTTAATATGTAGCTTGCTTGATATAGTGACTGCTGCTCGCTTACGGCTTGCAAACGATTTTATGGTTAGGGTAGTCCGCTTTTTGGCACTCTCTTGAGCAGTAGCGAGCCTTTCTACAGCCTGCACAGATCTTCAACTTTGCGTCCGATTCACCCTCCACGTTGCAGCCGTCTCGTGCACACGTCTGCACGAAGGAAGAACCGACCCCTTAATAGAGAGCGGCTGGGATCCGTCCGCTCTAGTTGAACGAGAGCTGGCCAATGAGCGAGCAAACTGGGTTCATGAGTTTGGAAAAGTCTCTAAGTCGAAGTCTAGAGAACTTCTGCTTCTGGAGAACGTCCTTCAGTCGTCAAAGATTGTACCAGAATAGGCGATTTGACTGCCATTTTTGGAGCATCTGTAGCCAGCAGACCCCTCCGATCTTTAGGCCGAAACAATCATATCAAGCTGGAATACTTGAGCGCGCTCGCAATCTGTCGCGTAATAAAGCATACTTTTCCTTTTGATCTTTTTCGCACAGGATGTCCAGCTACGAAACCTAGTCCGCAACAATGCGCCGTGCAAGAAGTCTCAGAAATGAAAGACGGTCGAAGACCTCGAAAACCGAATCGTCTCATTTGGCAGTATATGCATTGATCAGTTGATGGTAGTAGACAGCTTCGCGCTCGTACCTTTCGCCGGCTGGCTTTCCTTTGCCGAGCATCGCTCGCCGGGCTGGCAATCGGGGAAGGCGGTGAGCTAGAGGCGGCTTCCGGCGCACATCCGGCGTCCGTATCTGACAAGAAAGGAGTATCAGTCAAGAAGCTCCCTAGATCATTCCTGGAGAACGGAGCCTTCTCACAAAAAGAAAATATTCGGGTAGTACTGAGATCCTCCAAGCTGTGACGACCTGAACAGCAAAAGCTCGCAGATGTGTACTGTAATGTTCGGAAGGATGTGAAAACGAGCTGAGAGTTCTTCCGTTGGGCTTTGACGCAGTCGCCACGTGTGTTGTTCAGGTACCGTTGACAAATTCCAAACTTGGTTAAGGTGCCAATCCCCACGAAGCTGATTCAATCCTAAGCCTCTCGAGTGCTGGAGACTCGGTTCGTATCTGCTATCTGCCTAACCGAGTTTCACAATCTCCTCATGCCCAGCTACGAGGCTCTATGTTGACTGCATGCGGTTTGCACTCGGCTTCTCACTTCTGTCTTTGTCATGTCTTACCCTCCGCTGCCTGGAGAAGCTTTTGGAACAGCTGACTCCCTATCCGCTGCCCCCAACCTTCGCCGAAAAGATCGCTGTCGATGAGACAAGCTTGGCCACGATCTCGCAAAGAAGCCCCGTGAAAAGTGAAGATCCGCTGATGATCCTATGAACCCTGCGGATTCAAGCAGAAACAAAATGGGTCAGGGAGGAGTGGGTGATGAAGTTGATCATCTTTGGGCTTCGTGACTCCAGAAAGTATCACCTCTTTGGAAGTACCAGCAATCTGCAGAAGGATGAGCAAGAAGACTTTTTCTCATGAACATAACCCAGGTGTGCCAATCGAGCCGTTTCAAAGTCAGCGAATTTGTTGGCCTGATCAGAGCATCTGGAACAAAGTTCGTGCGCAAAAGCACACATGATCGATACTCGTTTGCTAAAGAAGCAGACCATAAGAGTCGCTGTGCAATTGTCTTCACGTCACACACCAGGACCTGTCCCCCGACGTGAAACCCGAATGAGGATCTTCGAAGAATTTTTGAGGGACTTGCAGATCCGGGTAAAGCAAGCGGCGGTTGCTTACGCGCGGTTCTCGAATAGCCGGTAGACGAAGAGCGCCGCCTCTTGGTGCCCGCTCCGCATTCTGTCCGCCGGCAGGAACTGAAGACTCTGCTTCACGGCTTGCAGCGCCCCTTGCTCCAGCAGCCACTCATGGTTAGAGGATTCTGTGCTCAGACTGCTGATGAGGCGCAGTGCTGCTGTAAGCAACCGGTACCACACCCCGAGCCAGAACCTTGGGTCGCAGTATGACGTGGCCGCATGCCCCGGCGGTTGAAACGCCACGTGTTTATTGCAAAACGTGTGCCAGGTCAGTAGAAGCGCTAAGCGCGCCGATATCTCCGAGTCACGTATGAAGTTGACCGTTGAACGCCTCTGAAACTCTGAGGGCAACTCAGCCAGATGAATCATCCTTGTCTGAATCTGGTTGCGAGCCGGCCTCCAATCTGTAGACTCCCTAAGCTCTTGGCGTCTTTTCGGAAGGTCCCTCTCTGCATACCCGGTGTCACTTTTCTCGAAGATCTCCTCGAAGTCCTGGACTTCCTTGCCGGCCTCCTTCAATAAGCTGGCCGCAAGAGGCGCGGGCGGGTCTGCGATACGCGCGAGGATGGAGAAGAGGCGCTCGCTTTTCAGGAGCGAGCCAATGACTGCACGACCGAAGATTATTTTGAGTTCCTGTAAGCTGTTCGCGGGCTCGAATGTCCGCTCGTCATCTCTTGAGAGGAACCTTCGAGAAGCAGCTCATAATCATCCGATACCCATCTTTTGAGACTCATTCAGTCAAGCGAGGTTTCACCAATGCACGAGTAGAAAAAGCTTGGAGACTCAATGGGCATTCTGAGCGCTTCTAAAGCTTGCTTGATTTGGAAAACGGCATCCGTTCAACCAGCCTTTGACAGCGCTTTGATCTAATGATCTCGGCTGCTCAAAAAATAGCAAAAGTTCGAATTAGAGGTCTCAGCAGAACAGTAGAACGCCTCGACCATCTTCCTTGTAGATAATCGATGAGCAACACTTTCAGCAGCATCTTAAGAGGCTGTTTCGAGCATGCAAGCCCTTACCCGGGTCGTCTCTTGCCAGATTCGCCAGGCCTTCGAGGCCCACCTTCAGCTCGTCCACGTTGACTGTTTTCGCAGCCGCCACGTGTCGCTTCTCAACGGTGCCCCGACACTGCTTTACGAGCTGACGAGCCAGACACGAGCGCTCTGATGATTTCAGATCGAGACTCTTCAAGAAGCTCAGATGTGCTAACGCCTCTACTGCCGTCTCCTTGTTGATTGGTGTACCGCTGATGACTTCGCCCCCAAGTGCGGCGGCTATCAAGGCTTCTTTGATGGAGTGCGTCGGGAACAATTCCAAAGGAACCCGTACTGAGCATAAGAACTCCAAGTCGGCGGTGTCGTCGGCCTTGTGCTCGAAACAGGGGGCTTGGCCGGTTCTATCAGCCCGAACGTAGCTGGACGCAACGGTGGAGAAGACTGACCGAACTCTCGAACAACTTCGAACGGATGAGAGAATTTTAAGAACATTTCCGCTTCATGCGACCCTTCATTCTTCAAAAGGTGTCTGAGATCCTCCTTTGACAACCGATGCAGGTTAAGCGAACAGTCCCCTTTACGGAGCAATTCAAGACACCAATCTTTCAAGGGGTATTGACGTCGAAGATTATGGGTCCAGGTTCACATGAAGACAATTACTGCCGTCATTAGGGGAGGAGACCCTAAAGCAGGCTAAGGATCGACGCTTCTCACATCCTGGCACACTGAACACGTAGCACTGGTCCTTAGGAAAGTCTCGTTCACCGACTCATTTTGAATTCAATTGCGTCCAGTTCGGGGCAGCTACTTTCAACAAGTAAAAGGAGGCATTGACTCAAGCATATTCTGTTAGCTTTGTACGGACCTTGATCCGAGTTACAGGACTACTCTGCTCACCAGTCCAAGTGATTTTCAGCAACCTTACGCTTCTCCTGCTCCACTCTTTCTGCAATCCAAGTGCGGCCGTTGGGCCAGACGCAGGCGAGGTCGATGACCGTGCCCATCGTTATGGAGTACAGCCGAGCGAATGTGAGACTCGTCCAAAGGAATTCACCAGCGAGCCTGAGTTGCCTGCATTACCAACTTCATGTTCAGTTTACCTTCTTATCCTGTCGTGTCTGAGAAGGGTGCCTGATTTGCCGAAAGCGAGGACGACATTATTTGTAGAATGAAAACTTCTCCTATTTTCGTCACTCAGTTCGATTGACCGAAGACAAGCGACTGCTACGGGTACTACAAAAGAACGTATAATCCTCAAGCAGAGATTCATGCTTTTAAGAAACGCTCTAGTTTTTGGGAAACTGCCAGAAAGAGGACTTTGAAGAGTAGCTTCACACTGTCGCAGGTAGGTTGAACCAGTATGTTGAGTGCGCACACCGTGGAAAGAGGCAGCTATCTTAGAAAACTTTCATGGAAGATAACCGAAGAAAGACGCAATTGATCAGTATCGATACACTGCATTGAAGATGCATCCCAAAAGCAGACAGGTCCTGACTTAAAGCAACTGTAAGCCAGGCCTTACGTCGGCCCAATCTTCAAGAAGAGGGCATTCTGCGATTGTCTTCACTTCTTTTTGTAAAATTCCCTTGGTTTTAACCTCCTGCCGGTAACTTCGCTGAGCGAGTTTGCTAGGTAACCGTGGTTATCACAAGAGCCATTCGGATGATACTATAATAACAAGAGACAATAATAGGGACTGTCAAAGCTGCTGTGTGACGTCTCTGCTATATGCTTCAGGGCAGGGAGCGTCCAGAAGGAGACTCTTTTTCAGCACCGCCGAGTTTCCTTGCCACTTCTTGCAAAGCAGCTCGTCCTCACCTGTCTCCCCAAATGCCTGTGCTTATGTACCCCTTAGCGAACAGATGGAGCACCGAGCAGACCCAAGCAGATATTGCAAGAGGAGTCAGGACTGGCTTGGCTTTCTTGATGCGGCATGCACACAAGCGAACCAGCAGCGTGCCAAGGAGAGCAGGGTCGAAGCGACCCTTGTGTTGTAGTCCTAAGGCGATCCACTTGGTCATGAAGCTCGTGCGCTCGCCTGTGTTTCCTAGGTAGAAGAAGCCCACTGCTCCTATGACTACGCGCCAAAGTTTGCCTTTTACGAAGCGAGAGAATGGAACGATGAAGACGAGCAACAGTGCCATGCGCAGCCAACAGAGAGCGAAAAGAAGTGTCGCCACGGCTTGCCCGTACAGGTACCAATCTACAACGTGCAGAATGTTCTGGTCGACTTGCAGGTCCAACATGCTAAGAACCTTGTAAACGAGGAGCATCGGGATAGGCCAAGCTTCGCTGCCAAGAAGAAAGGCTAGAAACAGGTCTGCAAAAAAACAGAGAGCCAGCAGGGCCAGCCTCTGCAGCAATGGTCTTCCCCATGCCATTTGATCAGCAGCGCCTGCTGTTTGCAAGTCAGTCTGGTACAATTTCCTCATCTAATCAGCCTTGCGCACCCTCGCTTCTCGAAGGCGAAAGCATTCAGCTGCTCAAAACGCTCCGACTCCAGACCACCGCTTCTTTCATCTTCCAGGCTTTAGGCAGGTGAGTCGATCTGACGCCTCGGAGAAACGATTGTCATTGCGACTCCGTGCGCTTGGTTTGGCTAAATTTCGACACGTGTCCCGGATAACGGCAGAACCTCGAGCTTCGAAGGCCCAAATTTGGCCAAAGTTTCAATGACATTCCAATTTTACGGTCTCGAGGAGGCGTTATAATGTGTTAAGCAGAACAGACAATCAGTTGAGAAAACAATTAAGAATTGCGCGAAGGAAGCGCTAGCCTACTGGAAGAAGGGTTTGATAACATCCATGCATAAACAAAAATCTCAGACCAATCAGCACCATCAGCTGCGGGGACGAACGAACTGACAAACTGGGGCCACACATGTATGACCCGGCCTCCAGATAACGTGGACACGTCTGCTAACTGATACTGGCTTTCCGACTCCTATTGCACGGTAGGGTGAAATAAGTAAACATGGTTATTATCATGACTTTGGATCGCGAGTTGTTGATTGATCGAAGAGGCCAGAGACGAAGGCCGGGCCGCCTCTTGCTTTTCATTCCGCAACCATAATGTCAGGCGGCACAAAATTGGAAGGTCTCTATCACCGCGCTTGCAGCTAGCCTTTCTTGCTTCAGCGTAGCCATGTCTGCCACTTCAACAGAGTATTGCGTGCTCGGAATCATAATTCGTGGAATGCTGCCAGTAGCGTTTGGTGATACGAACTATATGTGTCAGGTGTGCCAGAGGTTTCGAGCGGGCAGCTAGAACGCGTACGAGTTCCTCATCAGCAACTCGTCCAGTGTCTTTCAATGTTCCGCGGTCCCCTCCATAAAAGTAGAGCGGACGGGGCGTCGAACAAACATCTGGCGAACGCAACTTGCCTTTGCGACTGAATTTGTAAAACCAAACAGACATCTGGTGCAACTAGTACTCACTGGCAACGTCTGAAGAGAATGGGTGTGGCCTTAGCTTGATTAGAATGCCTTTTGTCTAGGGTTTCTGGTTTTCAGAGCACCTCTTTAATAATCTCGATTGGACGAGTCTGCAGAAGGTGCGTCACACTTATACAGGGCGTGCTCAAGTCTTGCAAAAACTTTTATGCGAAGGGAAGTCCGCTTTCTGGCACTCTTTAGAACAGTAACGGGCTTGCCTACAGCCGGCGCATTTCTTCAACCTCGTTCCGGTCTGGCCTTCCACGTTACGACCGTCTCGTGAACACGTCTGCACATAAAAGGGTGTTGAAGTTATCGAAGAGCACTTCAGAGCTGTCGGTTGCAGTCATTGAGAGATGGCCAGACAAGGTTGGGGTCCAATCAAAAGAGTTTCTAAAGCGAAACTGGGAAGGTCTGCTCCAGTTTGAGAGGCTCATTTCTTCCCCTTTAGCTTTTGACCTCGAAAAGAGAAATCAACTTTTTGCAAAGCATCTAGACCAAGCGGACCCTCTCTTCGCGTTTGTTGTCTAACCACAACCAGCTTGAGGCCATTGAAAAGGCGCTCGCGTTATCGCGTCCTTATAAGACCGTGTAAACAGGATGTCAAGCTGTCGTATTCTGGTCTGCTCCGTTACTGTGCACAGTGAGAACCTTCAGAAAGTACATTTTACGGTAAATGAGGCGAGAACCGTGTTGTCATAATTCCCGGAAGAAAACACCGTGTAAGCCCGCCGCGAAGGAGTTTGTCTACCTTTGTCCTTCTGCTTCTCCTCTGCCGAGCTTCCCCCTCCGGCGGTGTGCTGTCCGGCGAGGAAGGCGAGCCTGCACTCCCGTCCTGATTAGATCTCACGCCAGATCTAGATTGAACGTCCGTCTCTGATGAGAAAAGGAGCAATAGGTGAGTGAGCACTCCCGGAAGGACGGCCTTTGGAGTTCGCTCAGTTGAAGGGGCCGTTTCAATGTCTCAAGAATCTACGAGCCTTGTCCGTCTGACTTTGGGAGAGAGGCTGCGGGGAAAATCGCGAGGTACAGAAGGGTGAACTAAGACGCTGGCTTTACTTGTATCATGTTCGAAGCCCCAATGCGTGTTTGATCACAGGACACGCGTTAATGAGCACTTGAGGTGGTCCACTTTGGAGCTGTCGAACACAGCACGTACAGCACGTTCATTCCGTTCGTCTGTGACATCTACAGAAGCATTTCAGTCTCATTAATGCACCAGCTTTTAAACAAGCTTTTCCGGTGAAGACATAAGCTTTGTCTCCTGCTTTATACTTGGATATGATTCTCACCTTCCGCAGTTAAGAAGAGCTGTCTGTACAGCGGTATTCCTATCCGTTCGCCCCAGCCCTCGCCGAAAAGGTCGCCGTCAATGGAGACAAGCTGGGCCACGATCTCGCGAGAGAGGCCCGTCAAAACCGGAGACTGGCTGATGCTTCTGTGCACTCTGTGGAAGCGAAGTGCGTCGGATTAGTTCGATCCTCTGATTTTCTGTGCTCTGGGGCGCTCCTTCTTGAGCTTCGAGACTGATCTGGAACCCGTCTGGAACTTTCAAATCAACCAAACGAATCGCACGTGTTCGAGCAACGAGGCGTCTCGCGAGCAATGTTCTGCAGGAATATGTTCCGCGGAACGCACCGTCTCAGACGCGATAGACTGCCAGTAAAAGTTGATTGAAATCAATGTACGAACGTCCGCTCAAATCTTTCGGTCAAAAGCAGGAGGGTTCGAGACTCCATAACGAACGACGGGAAGACTAGCTGAGTAGTTTTGCAGATTATTTACCCCTGACCTGCCTTACATGTCCGGCAAATCAACACCGAAATTACTCAATCTGTTGTCTATATTTGGGTGAGGCAACCGGTAGATTCTTACCTGTCGTTCTCGAAGAGGCGGTAGATGAACAGCGCCGCCTCTTGGTGCCCGCTCCGCATCCTGTCCGCCGGCAGAAACAGCAGGATCTGCTTCACGGCTTGCAGCGCGCCTTGCTCTAACAACCACGCATGGTTAGAAACTTCCATGCTCAGACTGCTGATGAGGCGCAGCGCCGCTGTAAGCGACCGGTACCAAACCCCGAGCCAAAACCTCGCGTCGCGGTGCGACGCGGCCGCGACTCCCGGCGAGTCAAAGGCACCGGGGTGCTTGCGGACTGCGTACCACATGAAAAGCCATTCGAATTGGATCGAGATATCACGTAGGAAGGTGTCGGTCAAAATCCTCTGGAACTCCGGGGGCATGTCAGTGCGGGGGGGCTCTGTTCTGGGAGTTCTGTTGGGTCCCCGAGTTTGTTGGCCCCCTGACTTCTCTGCGTTTCTTGGGAAGGTCCCCTTCTGCATAACCGGGGTCACTCCGTTCAAAATGTTCCTCGATGTATTGCATTTCCTTTGCAGCCTTCTTGACGAAGCTGGTCGCAAGAACGGCCGAAGGGTCTATGACACCGCCGAGGATGGAGAACAGGCGCTCGTTCCGCAAGAGGGATCCCGTGACTGCAAAGAGTACCCAGAAACCGTCTATGATTTTGCCTTGCCTTCTGAAAGTGAAACGCTGTGAGCGGAAACAAATGTTAATGTGAAGCGAAACCGTTTCCAGATCCATCTCGGTCGCCCGAAAACGCAGCCGCGCAATAGGGTCGCATGACGTGACTTCGTAGGTCATTCTCGAAGATATATTTCTTAATGTTGGCCGTGAGCTATCAATCCTAAAGACGACGAGCACATCCTAAATACTAGCACGAGAACGTGTCCACGTAGAGAATGCAGCTTCGAGTAAGCAAGCCCCAGACCTCATTCTTGCATATGTTTGAATGGACAGATCGAAAATTTGGAGCTTCATAGTGACATTTTCGACTTCGCAAGACGTACCTGGGTCCCCTCCCACTAGATTCGCCAGGCCTCCAAGACCCACCTCCAAATCGTGCACCTGTAGCTCTGCAACCGTATGCCGACATATTCGTAGGAACTCTTGCGCGAGATTAGAGCGCCCCGCCGAATCTCCATCTTGCCTCTCGACAAAGCTCAGATGCGCCAACAACTCTCGTGCCGTCTCGCTGTCAATGAACGTGCGGGTACCACTGATGAATGCACCCCGGGAAGCGGCGGAGATCAAGAATTCTCTGACGGTGCGCTTTTCGGATTCGAGAGGGATGCATCGAGCGCAAAGAACCTCCAAGTCTAGGGTGTCTTTGGTGTTCTGGTCGAAGTAAGGGGGCTGCCTGGTCTTGTCGGCGCGAATGTAGCTGGACGCAACAAGACATAAGAGGTTATGAAGCGTCCAAAAACTTTGGACGAACAATTGGACGCTCGAACACTGCTTGTTATTCGACTCTTTCTTCTAAAGTCAATCGGAACTTTTCGTGTGTTATTCTCCTGACGTGTCTTTCTACAAGCTCTTGCAGAGGTAGGCTGAGAACCTTACTTTATCTCCAGGTACATAAGATATTTAAGGTTGTGCTCCTTGACCCTCATATGACTGGGGGTGTACCCGTCTGCATTTCAGCGTCGATGCGTACACAACTGCGACAACATCCGTCCAGGACACGAGAACTAGAGATAGCATTTGAGAGTTACCAAATGCAAGCGCACTGGTCATAACACGCTGCTCATAAAAGAGGGGTCCGGTTCTAGAGAGCTTCGGTCCTAATCAAGGTCGATCAAGGATACGTTTTCCGGAGCAACTTTGAACAACTGTAGCATGGGAAGGTCAACTCTCAAGCACTCAACCATTACAGTAGCGTTGATAGACGGAAAGTCACTCGGTACCGTTACAGAGTGATTAGGACTTTCCTCACCAGTCCAGTTGATATGCAGCGGCTTTCCGGGTCTCTTGCTCCACTCTCTTTGCAATCCAGGTGCGGGTGCTAGGCCAACCGCAAAAGATGCCCATAAGCGCGTATGCCGTATCGAAAAACAACCGGAAATATGTTACCGTGCTCCAGATTGTGTCAGCATGATGCTTGAGTAGCCTGCAAGATCGGTGACTCAAAGTGTGAGTCAAGTTCATTTCGTCTTGTTTGAAACCCGTCCTCTTAGTGCACGCACAGAACCTCTGCAAAACGAGGATTGCCTTTTCGGCGTTTTGATCAGATCCAATTAGAGACCCAATGATGGTGGTCTCTACAAGGAGGTCCAAAAGGACCGTTAAAATTCTTATGGTTAGCTGACTGCTGCAGATTAGACCCTTACATATCGGCTACTGCTACTTCACCCGCAGCTTGTTCTCATGGTTAACGTTTGGTGCCTTTGTCAGACAGCGAGCATCAAAGTAAGTGGGGAGGAACGAAGTAGACTGGATGCTTGTTCAGCACACGGTATTGCATTTCAAAGAAATGTTTTCTTCGAGCTTCTAGAAGCCATGAAGCTTCAAAGTGGCCCAAATCTCAAGGAAGGGGCATTTGTATCTTTATCCAATTTCTGACTTCTGCCTCATCTTCTGGCTGAACTCATTCTAGATGGACAAGTACAAGTTGGAAGACGAGACCTCATCGTAGCCTTGAGAATGGCGGCCTAGTCTGCATAGACATACATGTCCTGTCAAGACCCCGAAACCTGCTGAAAGACATTTTCCTTCACCTCAACATCCTAGAAAGGGGCACTATATCTTCCTGTGTCAATGCATTGCAGATGTTTCCTACCTGTCTCCCCATTCGGTGCCTGTGCTGAAGAAACCCTTGGCGAAAAGATGGACGAGCCAAGAGACCCCGACATAGATTGCAAGAAGCATCAAGACTGGCTCCGTTTTCCTGAGGTGGTAGACACACAAGTGCAGTAGGAGGGTGCCAAGGAGAGCAGGGTCAAGAGGACCTATCTGTTGGTAGCCTATTAAACCCAACCAGGTGGTCAAAAAGCGGGTGCGATTGCTATAGCTCCTAATGTACACGATCCCCGCTGCCATCACCGCTACGCGCCAAACGTTTTCATTGAAGCTGCTGAATAAGGGGAGGAAGAAAAATAAAAGGAGAGAGGCAGTATGCTGCCACCATGGAGCGAGAAAGAGATACGGCTTGTCAACTATCAACAGAGCTCCCAGCCTTACGTGCAGGTACACGTACACAAGGTACAGAATGTTCTGGTGGACTTGCAGGTCTAGCATGCGGAGCGCTTTATAAGTGAACAGCACTGGGGCGGGCCAAGCTTCGGCGCCAAGAAGGCTTGCCACGACATGGTCTGCCAGCAGGCAGAGCGCCAGAAGGGCCAGCCTCCGCACCATTGAGCGCGCCATCATGTGATCAGCGCCTCGACTGGCAGACAGTTGACAGGCTTACAAGCTTCGTGCTCCACAGGAACCTTATCAGTTTCTTCTCCAAGTGAGTTTCTCTTGAGCAGTGATCTCTCGGAGATCCTTCTTGTCCGCTCCTGGCAGTGGCATTTCGCAGTCGTCCTGCTCAGCTGCTCCAAAACTCGTCGGCGCATTGCCTCTTCCCCAAAAAAGCCGCAGCATATGTAGCAATTCTCGAAAACACCGCCCCTAGATACGCTAACGCTTCGACGTAATCATATCGCTGAGTGCGACCGCGTGCCCTTGGTTCGGCCAGTCGAAGTTCGACACGTGTCACGGAGCCTGGCCGGGATACTGGAGGCCCAGCAGATCTTCAGCTTGACCTCCAATTGTGCAATTCTGAGAGGGCAAAGCACATTCCAAGCTCGAAATCAAACACTCTCGAACATCATGCAAAAGTAGTTGGAAGGACTGAGCTTGCAGACTACGCGGATTTGATAGCTGCATAGAAACCCAGAACACTAGCTAACCATTCGATAGCTCGTTCACAAACATGTTGTCGAGGAGCTCTAGGCTTTCTGAAGTTCGTAAACGGCCAGCTAGGCCCCTGCGTACTGATGCCCGCATGGACCTATGCCGTTATGTATCCGTTCGATCGGTTAAGCAAGATTAATGATCCTATACGGCTGAAGTACGGAAACACAGTAAGCTTGACGTGCATGGCCAGCCATGCATGAATTCACATACCATATGTGACACACATATGTCGGACCGATGGTATAAGGCATGAATGCGCACCCACAAGTGCTGTCCTATGTGACCGTACCAGACCCATCAAATGCGTCCATGCACTCTGTCAACTCAATATCACTCAGTGTGCCAAGTTCAATCAAAAAGCATATAGAATCGAGGCCGTCAGCTTATTGATCCACGTGCTTAAGAAGGAGCGACTCGGACGTGCATGCCTGAGCCTGCGCGTGGCTGATTAAGATCAATTATCAGGAAGGCATGTAAAGCAAACTATTTCATCCGTTGGCCGGGCCAGATCTGGCGGAAATAGACACAAAAGCTTTCAAGTCCGACCTCCTCGTGCTTTCAACAGCTTGCGTCCAAAATACTTCGCGGACTTGAGCAACCCAGCAGAGAGAAAGCCGGCAACCGCTTGGCGCCGACTCGAGTGCTGCACTATGCTCGCTATTGCGCTTGTGATGAACCCGTTTTGTCTCTGTATGCTCGTCGACTCGAGCGTTTGACCGAGAATAGCGGACAACTCTCCGGGGTGGAACCGGGTGCCGGCCGGGAAAACGTGTCCGGCTGCCACGGCAATGCTTTCGAGGAGTGTGAAAGGAAGGTGGTGAAAGAGGGAGGCTCGGCCGGTTGGGCTGTCGTCCTGAAATGCAGAAGAGCCAGGGTCAGGATCCGATCAGATACTGTAAGAAGGGTCAGGATCCGATCAGACACTGTAAGAAGGGTAAGAATCCGAGCCAAAGACTGTAAGAAGAGACGTCGTCCCCAGCAAGACGGGCGACGTTCCAACACAGGGTGACCGCCATCAGAAGCAGATTCGCCGATTGTGTGAAAGCTTGACGGCGTCAACAGCGGCACAGAGAGGCAGCGACTGATAAGAAGTGTTGATTGTCTGTAGTTTTCCTGACACTCGCTCACTCCAAAAGACTGTGCCGGCGCACCCGCTTCTACTTGACTTAACGTCTTAAACGTTAGGAAAACCGGCCGAACCGTTGGTGAAAGGCAGCGCGCATGACCCTTTCTTAGGTCTCCGTTATGGGGGGATGCTGTCACTCGAAGGCGAACGTAAGCACGACCCTTGAAATAGTTTCTCAAAAAGACCGACCTGAACCGCAAACTTCATGTCTGATAGGCCGAACGACTTCTGACTACCATATACCTATTGGAAAGGACTTCAAAGGAAACATTCGTTCGCACCAGAGACTTTAAGCCCGTATCAAAGTCCTGCGCTTCGAATGACTACACACGACATGCAAAGACAAAGAGCTTTTCTGCGCACTTGACTAAACTGCTCACTGCTCCAGATCCTAAATAAACTTTCAAAAGTGGGTCAAACAAGAATCGACCTCTTGAGAAAGCCATGAGCGAGGGATCAGACGGCATGCTCTCATCCGAAACGTGTTTGACAAGCCTTCAGGACAAGTCAGCGTCGACAAATGAGAACTTGTTCCAGAGCCTCGCGATCACGAATTTTGAGTGCGGCAAACCGCAACAGCACTTGGAAAGACAACGCGCACAATCCGAGCTTAAGCGGACCCACAAGCAAGGGCTGCTTTCCGCATACGAGAATGCACTTCTCAACAACACCAACTAAATCTGCCTCGGCCTTCAGATGGCGAGACAGGGGACCAGTAATAGGAGCCCGATAGAGTACTGGGATACAGAAAGACTAACGTCAAGCACCTTATGAAGATAACCTGTTCAGGAAAAAACAAAGGCTTGGGTGCGCTTTACCTGGCGCCAAAGGCCGTCCGCTGCTCCCCCGGGGGAGTCTACCGGGACGCTCGCCAGCTGCAGCCGCCGCACGGGCTCCTCGTACAGGTCGACGAACCGGGGGAGGCTCCCGAGCACGATCTTGCGCACCTTGCCGCGGTCTTCAGCGAAGCGCATGCGCACGTCGCCCGTGTAGGACAGGCCGCAGATGGACGTATACAGCTCCTCCTGCACAAGAGAAAGGCTGTTAGAAGGGGCGTACAGTTGCGGGGAATGCCGGACAGACAATCTTAGCGGTAGGCCGATCTGAGCTAAATTTGGGGAGGTGATCGCAAATGTCAAGGGCCGGATGTCAAGCCAGCAAACTCCGAAGCGACGGATAGTCTGCAAAGTTCAGTGAAGCGGTCGCCGTTGAATAATACCAGGAGAACTTTTGCTGACGCCCTCTTATTGGTTGCTGTTGAGAATGTGCTTAGGAGAAGAAGTATCAACAAGACCAAGCTACGGTTTGGCCAAATCGCCTCAAAGGGGCGCACATTTCGCCAGTGCAGGACAGGCCAATGACTCAGAAGAACATTCTCATGTGGATAGTGGTGGTGTCACATTCCCGGACTGATGCAGACAGACTCGAAAAGACGTGCTCGAAGAAATGTGCAGTGTATGCCAAGATGTCTACCAAGGCGGATTGACATCGGAAACAGCGGCCGTTGCTGATTTCCTAACCGAGTGGACAATGAAGCTGACAAGCCGAGTATGAAACGGGATATCAGCCGCTCAGGACAAACATAGAACAGCTTATGAACATTGCTGCTGACAAACATTTGGACCATTGTGTCACGAAGCTCGTGAATTGTTCGCCCATTGTTCCTTCTGCAAAGACTCTGTGCAGGATTTGACCCTTCGAGGGGTCACGAACTCAGAGGACTCAACTGCCAAGCGCGCCATATCCAAGGAATTCGTTTTAGACGTTCAGCAAATCGTGCCATAAAGCAGGAGCAACCGCCGAGCAGCAACCAAAAGACACCTTACACCGTATTTCAATCTCAGAACTTCGATCAAAGCAATTGTGGGGCAAGCCGTCTTTCCTTTCTGGCCAGATCCATCCAGAGTCCAAACTCCTGAATCTACGACACTCTGCCAGTAGTTTATAAGATTGAATCTGCTCACGTCTGTGAAGGTGGGTGGGAGAAGCAGTAGGGCTGTCGCAAGTGCTGCCCGCAGGTTGACTTGGTTAGCGGCGTTAACCGGGGAGTGGTCAATAAGCATCCTGACCTGCATACAGCTGCAGTGAGTCTCAGGGACAGATTGGGTGATCTGCGGTTGCACCACAACCACAATTCAGAAAGCTTCAGAAGACGCCAACGACAAAGAAGTTAAACCTCTGTTGCATGACGAAACTTTGAACAGACTAAAGCTGTCCAGGTACGCTGGCTGACGCAGAAAATAGGGAACACAGAGGCCAATAACGGGAAGAGAAAAGCACAAGTTGAATCATTAAACGACTTTTTCCAATCGTGTTGGCACGGCAGCATACCTATCCTTTGCCCAGGCATACATATCCTCTGTGCGAAACAGATTCAATTGGATCCAGATTGAGTGCAGAAATTATTTTTTCTTCAGTCAAAGAGGATGCTCGCTCACGGGTTTGTGCATGCGGCCGCTGATGTACAAGCTCTCCCATGTCTGCAGGTCGTGCGTCAGGCGCGCCACGTCAATCACCCCGTACTTGATTAGCTGCAGTAGAATATACCGGGTATTTATTTGCGGGTACGCGCATTGGCACCAAGATCCTGAACGCAAACCTCGTAACTTGACCCGCAGTAGTGACAACCTTGGCCCACATCTTGTGCAGCCTTGCAGTATTCTCCATTTTAGCAGATCTTCCCCTTCGCCTTGTTCGAGTTCTCTCGATGAGAAACAGAGCGGCGCAGCCAGAGTGCCGAAGTTCAAGTTGGCAGCATCAGAGACGATCTGTGTTACTCTGCAGGGATCCAGGAGGAATTCGGAGCGATTCAATGCCGCTTTCCGCCCTAAAGGACTGTTCTCACTGTAGGCTTGTCGAAAGCACCCAGCTTGCAAGTTTACCACTGGACAACTTATCTGTCCTGCTGGGATTGTTCAAATGAACAGACCAGGATCAAAGAAGAACAACGATCTCTTGAAAGTGGCGCTCACTCTGTCTCGCCAGGGCACCAGCGTGTTGAAATGCACACCAACCCCAATCCGCTCCGCAACCCAGTCCACAGCCTGCGGCCCCAAGTAGGAGAGCGCCGAGTAGTGGTGCCGGTTCTGCTGAATGTTGGCGGCGTGCCAATCGGGGGGACTCTGGACTGCTAGGATGTAGTCAACCATCGGCGCCTGCAATAGAGGCAATAAAATCGTTCTTATAGTGTTCTGTTCTGAAGCACACTGACAAGGTTAAGGGGCCCGCATAGCAGCCGACAGTCAGCCAGTGTTCATTGTTCAAACTACCTGTCTGCTTATGACCATCAGCTGCTAGAGGCTTCTTGAGCGCCAGGAGCGGCGGCGCCACCCTCTGAATTGAGAATGAAAGAGCGGACATATTGTTTTCTCATTGTTGTTTGAGCAGGTAGACAACAGCATTCAGAGCACAAGAGATTGAAGAGAAGTCACAATCATACAGTGAACCAATCAGCATACAGTGCTAGATTGGGGACGCTTTAGTTGACGCAGAGCAAATCAACGAAGTCCATGACAAGCTGAGAATTTGACATTCTTGCAGACTTGCACCGTGTAAGAAGGGTGGTTTAGTGAGATCTCTTATAACACAACCAATGCTGTCAAGGAGCGCAGCGGCACCTGGTAAAGATAAAACCTCACCTCCTCCTTTTTGCCTGCCCTGCTTTCCGCACCCTGTGGAAAGACGCCGGAGCCATAGGCAAAAGCCATCTCAACGGAGGGCAAATCTACCAGGGGTGAGGAAAAGTCGAATTCCTCAAAACCCGCCATCAGGCAAATGGTCAAAGGCCACAGAACAATTGTACTGGGATTATCTGCCTGCACTGCCACCGCTGATTGCCGGAGTCACAAGCGCATCGCCTCGAGAGGATGTAGCAGTCAATCTATTGCTCTACAGCGAATGCAGATTGGGGGAGAGCGTCCACGGTCCAGCTGCCACGGCCACACCACCTCAGCAAAAAGAGGGAGCACCCACCAAAAAGCGCCACCGAAAAGGATGACAGGGAGCAGAAAAAATTCCGACGCCGGGACTCGAACCCGGGTCGCCTGGGCATTTCGTTCGAGGGCTTCGCCTCGCTGACTTGAAAGCCAGGTATCCTAACCAGACTAGACTACGCCGGAGGTGGTTGACGTACTTCTCGCCCTTCTGTAAAAATATATTTAACTTACTAAAAAAAGTCGACAAAGGGTAACGCCCCATCCACCCCGATCCTACCGTCCGATTCTTGCCCTTCGAAGATCTGGACCCTCCGTTCAGAAGACCATAACACGTGTCGAACTTCGGCCGAACCAAGCCGCACGCGATCCGATCATGGGCCGCCGACAGTGCTGGCAGGAGTCGCTGAGTCGCTCAGTCCACCCTGCTTACGGAGCGATCGAGGCGCCATGAAGGCACTCTGAATGGGCTCTGAATCGTTGCGGAGAAGAAGCGCCTTTCACCTCGCTACAGTAGTTGACGAGGCTTTAATGAGCAGCCGATCCGAGTCGGAGTGAGCTTTCGAACCAATGCAAGCGCCGGCAAGAGGGATCAGATCTTCAGAGAAGAATGAACTCAGGACCAGCGCCTAGGACATAGCTTGTCAAATTGCAGGAAGGCGCCGTTGAAAAATGGGGCGCAGAATGCTGCGGAAGCTGCTTTTGTTTGCTCTTTGGCCGCTGGCAGACCTGATCATAGCCTTTGTTCTTGGCTGCGAAGCTTGGCCTGCCCCAGTGCTGTGCATCTACAAGGTGCTCAAAGCTTTGAACCTGCAAGTCCACCAGAACATTCTGCACCTCATGTACTGGTACCTGCACGCGCAGAATCTGGAAATTCTCCTTCCTCCTGCTCTTCTATTTGCTCCTTGGTGGCTGCAGATAGCGACTTCTCTTGTCTGAATTCTCCTCTTATCGTACTTCAGGAGACACTATTTGCGCATTAGTAGCTGTGGGGGCATTGGGGCTCTTCTACATTTCGTACCTCGGAAACAATAGTATAAGCGACCGCGTTTGCTTCATAACCAATTGGTTAGCTTTACAACACCGACAGATGGGACCCTTCGATCCGGCTCTCCTTGGCACTCTACTACTGCATCTAGGTGCACACAGCCTAGACAGAGCCGAGGCAGCCCTGATGCTTTTTGGGATTTATGCTTCGATATCTGTGGTGGTCCACCTGTTTGCTGAGGGGTATCTTAGCACAGGCACCTGGGGAGACAGGTGAGGACAATCTGCTTTGCGAAAATTTTGAGAAGGAGCTAAAGCTGTGCCCTGTTTATGCATTATGGAATCTTTCGAAGAGCTAAGAGCAGATTAGGTGACGGTTTGACAGGCTTCGTATGCGGTCTTGATCTGCTGCATCTTTGACCTCTCCACGCTTGTCTCTCCGCCAAGCATTGTTAGCACAGCAAGAAGAGGCATGCATATTGAAAGTTCAACGAAGGGACCTGGCTGAGGTATTTGTAGACTGCCCCTTCCATGAAGATTGAGCCGATGTAAAGTGGTGCAAAGCCTGGCTTACAAATAGCGCTGAAAGCCAGAAGTAAAGGAGAAAATGGCTGCTGTTGCGATGACTTATGGCTGCTGTTGCGATGACTTCGTGTTTGCTAAATCATATTCATTATTGTATGTGTTCCTCCTTCTAGTTTCTAAGAACCCTGTGGCATAGCTGCTCAAACTGGCCGCCTCAAACTTTTGCGTTGAGGTCCATATGCTTGCTGGACGTTCACAGTACCCGCAGAAAATTTGAAAAGAGTCTTAGCTGTTCTGCAACTGATTGGTCTTAGAGCTCAGCAAGAGACCAGGACGGTGCATATGATCATCTGCTTTGAGTTGTTGTTTTTCAGTTCCTTATGACCACCACCTCCTATGCTAGATTCTCAGATGAAATTTGAACAGACTGAACAAGGCGGAAAAGAATAACCGATTCGCAGCACACCTATATACCGCCTTCATTGTTATAAAGTCCAGCAATATTCCATGCTGCGTGCGGCCAACCGCAAGCTCTCCAGTAACATTGAAGTATGCCAGGATACCGCTATGAATGCAGTGCTGCTGGTTATGCAGGCAACTCCGGCTGTGTGCTGATATGGTCTGGAGCACACTCACATGGCCGCGGCTGTACAACGAAACGTCAGCAACGGTCATTGGCCTTACTCGTTGCTCACCCAACGCATGCAATTGGATCGCAACGAGAGTGGAGCAGGAGAAGCGGAAGGCCGCTGAATTCCAGTTGGACTGGTGAGGAGCTTTGAAGCTCTCGTCAAATGAATGAATCAGTTCTTGAGTGGGTGCCTTCGTAAAGGGTCTCTCTTTGAAGGCTATCCGAGGTCTGAATAGCTGCCCGGGCAAAATGGTTGTTGACTCTCATCGGAACACACAATCTGTTCTGTCTGCTTGCTTTGATGGGCCTTTGAATCTCGCCCTAACCAGTGTTATGGTCCTCTGGAATTTGTGTCAATACGGTAGCCTTTCGGCTTTGGCCAAATGAATAGTGACAAGGATACTGTACGGTACGAAGGAAGTCCTGATCACGCTGAGGCCGAAAGGCTCAGAGAACTTTACAATCGCTCCGACATCCCGACTATCCGTGCATGCTACTGTGATGGCTCAGTGACGCGTTTTTTCCTTTGCATCCAGCTACATTCGCGCCGACAAAACCGGGCAGGCTCCCTACTTCGACCAGAACTCTGACGACATGGCAGACTTGTAGTTCCTTTGCTCATTCAGAGGCCAACTAGTCCCCCAGAAGCGTTCGGTCGGAGAATTTCTGATCGCAAGTGTTGATCAAGGCAAAGTGGAAGAACGTGCGATGGCCCAAAAGCGGATGGCAGTGGAGGCACTTGCACCTTTGAGCTTCGTGAAAGCTCTCGATCTAGACCGCCCGTTGCGTCTGCGTCTTGCGCGTCAGCTCGTGAATCTCTGTCGGAGTGCCGTTGAGAAGCGACACGTGGAGGTTGGGGAAACGTCTGACGTGCGCGATCTGAAGGTGGGCCTCGGAGGCCTGGCGAACTTGGCGAGCGGCGACTCAGGTAAACCTCGAAAGCTTACTCTTGACATTTAGGCAGTATGCAGTCCGCATGATTGGACTTGGTTAAAGAACTTACACCCGACGATGTGCGCGCTTGGCTCCCCAAGGTTATCAATTCCCTTATCAAACCTATTGGTCACCCGGTCCACAGATCTATGTCACCTAAACCACAGATTTACCTTGCGGCCTCGGAGCAGCGTCTCGAATTATCTTAGCGATTGTGATCTCTCCAGTAAATGACGTGTCGAGGCGAAGACAGAGACTTGCTTGCGCGTAAAATCTCTTCTGATCGACTTGTCACTGGCGGTAGAGTAGACGGACCGGGAAGGTACAGGCAAGCCGCTCTCTAGGGTTGAAAGAACGGTTGCGATATCAAGTATAGCAAAGCTTGAAAGACGTAATTTCGCGGTCACGACTGCATTTTTGGGCGAGATGAGCTTCAACGCACTCTGTTGTGTTCTTTCTTCAATGGAAAAAATCAACAGAACTCGCAGTCAGTGACAATAGCTCTACTCCAATGTCGTATTTGCAGTCACGGGGGCTTTCCTGAAAAACGAGCGCCTGTTCTCCATCCTCGCCGCTCTCCTCAACCCGTCCGCGCTCCTCGCGACGAGCATTTTCAACAAGGCCGCCAAGGAGTTCTTGTATTTCGAAGACCACTTCGAGCACAGTGACACCGGCTACGCGGAGTGGGACCTCAGCGAGACACGCAGGAGAGTCAGAGCGTCAACAACAGCGAGGCCTGATCGCACCGAAGTTCCTCTAAGGCCACTCCCCCGGGCGGACTTGCCCGTGGAGCTGCAAACGCCTATGACCGCCAGCTTGTCGAGTCAAGACTCGCTCACTTTCAGAATGCTCCTGGCCTGGTACTCGATCCGCCACCTCTTCGGAGCGTTTGATCCGCCGGGAAACGCCGCCACGTCTCCTCTCGTAGCTAGATTTCCGATCGGGGTGTGGTACCGATTGCTGACCGCGGCTCTGCGGCTGATGAGCAGTCTAAGCACAGAGGCTTCTAATCATGAGTGGATGCTGAAGCAAGGCGCGCTGCAAGCCGTGAGGAAGATTCTGCAGTATCTGCCGGCGGACAGGATGCGGAGCGGGCACCAAGAGGCGGCGCTATTTGTCTACCGGCTCTTCGAGAACCGCGCGTAAGGAACCGCCGCTTATTTGACTCAGCTAAAACAGTGTTCAAAGATTCTTGGGGTACTTTAAATCATTATGGTAGTGTCAGATTGGGAGACGTCTTATGCAATTTCGAATCAACGTAGTCTCAGAGCGGCTCTAGTATCATGCCTGTTGGATTCAAAGAGCTTCGGAACCTGCTTCCTCTTACCAATGAAGTTTGCCCCAGATGTTCGTAGATCGGACACGATGAAGCAGCGAATTCCGCCTTCCGGTTGACATTATTTGATTTTAACACCTGCACAACGGCCTGCGCGACGCCTTGTTGCTTGCAAAACGTGCGGTCTGCATTCGACAGCCAGTATGCGTCTCTTATTGTGAGTCTGTACTTCTTGAAGTTACAGAGCTCAAGCAGGGGCGCCCCACTGAAATAAAAATCAAGAAGGGGCACCCCCAGGAAATAATCTCTGGAATATACGAGCTCCTTGAGACTAACCCAATCCGTACTTTTGACAGAGTGCACAGGATCATTGGCGAGTCTCCCGTTCTGACGGGCCTTCTTCGAGAGATTGTCGCCGAGCTTGTCTCCATCGACAGCGACCTTTTTGACGAAGGCTGGGGACAACGAATGGGGCTCCAACTGTACGAAGAGCTCTTCAAAGCAGCGGAAGGTGAGACGTTGCATAGATACAACCGGCAGGCCTTGGACGCTTTAAGATCCTGACCGGCTTCTGAAACGGTCCCCAGTGGACCCTCCAGCGGACGCTTCTTGGGACGCTTCTACGGACGCTTTTTCGGACGCTTGGGAAGCAGCTCCAAGCGTCTAGTCTTCCTCCGCCAGCCAACTCTGCTTTCTTTCCTCTGTTTCTTCCTTAGACTCGCTTTTGGACGAATTAGTCACTCTTGCGGACGCCCTTTCGGACGCTATTTCGGACGTCCGGGAAGCCGTTCCGGGCGCCCATTCTTCCTCCGCCAGCTCTGCCTCCTTTGCTCTGTTTCTTCCTCGGACTTCCCTCCGGACGAGTTTCCAGACACTCTTGCGGACGACTTTGCAGACACTCTTTTAGACGCCTTTCCGGACGCCTTTTTGGACAGGGTCAATGAATGAGCTTCTTTATATGGAAAAGTGGATGGCGGAATGGCAAACAGTGGAGGCGAAGAGATTTAGAGGCGCTTTGAGATGCATGGGTCTGGATGTTCTTCGGAACGTTGGCGCTTCGTGAATGAGGTCCTGAATAGTTATCTGACTTCCCTATGAGTGGCGCTTGCGAAGACTCCCTGACGTAGCAGCCTTTTGTTCACCTTCATGAACACACACGAGCTTATGTTTTCCAAGTAGTGTAGGATCTTGTGCAACCTAACACCCCGTGCTTTGGCAGGTCCCTATTGTCCGTCCACCTGTGAGCACTGATCCTACCGCTGCTCTCCCTTTTGCAGATACGGACGCTCGCTTTTGTTTCGAGGCGAGCGCCGGCCGGCCTTCACCGCCGGACGGCACCGTTCAGGGGGATGCTCACAAGAGAAGGAGCGGCAAGCCAAGTGTACGATCAATCTTTACCGATCATCTTGTGTGCACCTGTCCGGCGATCGAACAAGTCGGTTCTCGTCGCTGTATTGTTTCCTTGGTTTGCGATCATCCAGACATTCCTGCGAAACAGGTTCGATACGCGTTTCTTGTGTGTAAAGGATGTATGCAAAAGCGACGTTATGCAAACGCCTTTTCGGGTAGATACCAGCTACGTGGCCACATGAAAAGGCGGTCGATAAATTCTGCTGGGTCCAAATGCTTTCACATGGCTGTGAGTTTGCTCATGAATGTAAAACAGCTAAAGTAGAAAGCGAAACCCCTAGAAGCACATGCCCCGCGTAATACTCGTCATGACTCTTGTGACAGACCAATCCAGTGACTCGTTCAAAAGGCTATGGACAGAGCTTCACGGCCGACTTAGAAATCAAAGAGTCGGATTCGATCGTCTTCTGTGCAGACGTGTGCACGAGACGGCTGCAACGTGGAGGGTCAAACAGCTGCCAAGTTGAAAACATGCGCCCGCTGTCGGCAGGTCCGGTACTGCTCAAAAGAGTGTCAGAAAGCGGACTTTGCTTCGCATCGAATTGTTTGCAAGCCATGAGAAAGACTTCCATAGGGCACCGAGCAATCCCAGAGCAAACAACGTGTATGGCTACGCAGACATATATGGCGGTGTACATGTGAGAGCTAGCGACTGACAGGTAGACTTGAGCCGTCTCTCAAAGAATTTTGACTGCGTGCACGTAAGTTCGCCGTAATGACCTGCCCAGAAACATTTGAGTCCTAGTGTTTGGAGTATAAGTACAGTTGTGCACGAGTCAGAGGATCAAATGTTTGGTTTAACGGGCCCAGGGTGAAAGGACGGCCGCAGTACAGGACTCAATTCACCGGTGCGCCTCAAAGAAAGCGAGAGCATCACGCTCTTTGAATTGTACATAGAGGACAGGCTGATGAAATCTTAGAGGTATAAGCGTGTCGATTTAAACGTTGACCCTTACCATTCATGTATACACAGACATGAGGATAGCATTTAACAACCTGGACTTATGCATGCATGACGCTTTCTCGATGCAACTTCCGACATTCAGTAATGTAATGAGGTCGCTTCCTCGCGAGGCCGATCGAGTATCGACTTTGCTTGCTGATTTGAAACAATCGAATCATGAATGTTGGTGCGGTGCAGCGGTCCAATGATATTATGCACAATATAGCCTGAACAGCTAGCGCGGCCAGCAGCTTGATCCGGCTGGCGCGCGGCGGGGCAAGCACATACGTGACTTTGCCAGACCGATTACGGGAAGAGCCGGAATTGATAGTGACGATCGCCCTCCATTTGAACGCCAATCTCTTAAATCTGAGGCTTTGTTGTTCATGTGCTTGGCGAGCTGCCGCAGTAGCGGCATGTCACGTGACTTTTTCGAGAACTTGGTAATGACGTATCACTTACCCATAATTCAATTGAACATATACATTATCAAGTGAGCGCAGACGATCCGCGTTGGTGCTTCAACAAACTTCAAGGGCTTTGAAGTCACTGGATATGTGCCAGATGAAAGTGTCAATTGATGGACGCTTAATTGGTCACGTGAATTGATGCGACAATGGTCACGCGGATTCGAATTGCTCGGATATGACTCAGCGTCGCCTGCAAGGTCACTGGCTTGTCACCCTAGCTGTGACTCAAACAGACTACGTATCATGAAATTTGGAGGCAGAATTCGGATCTAGTGAATACACCTTCCAAGAGTGAAATTCTGGTGTATGCACTTGCGATAGACGCAGCAAACTTCTCATCTAACTAGATATCAATGCGCATGCGCCTTGCATGGGATGCCATGACGTGCATTTGATCATTTATAATACAACAGTACAATCTTCTATCTATTATGGAAGGCGTTCAGTACAGGCTTTGAAGCTCCTGCGGAGAATCTGTACACTTATAAAGTACATCCCCTATATCCGATCGATATCTCTGCCGCTTAAAGATTGTCATGGTTCGTTGCCTTCGACTGATCATGCATATGAACATCCAACATATAGCAAGAATCTGCTTCTTCCCTACAAATCTTGTTGCGCTCGAATCAAGACTTGCTTTCACGCGCTGCTATTCTGACTTGCAAACGAGTTTGTGCGAAGGGAAATCTGCTATTTGGCACTCCTTTGAGCAATATCGAACTTGCCTACATCCAGCGCAGATCTTGAGCTTCACCCCAGATTGCCGCTCCAAGCTGCACCCCTCTCGTGCACACTTCTGCATGCAACACGATCCGTCAGCGAGTGAAAAAGTCAAACGTTTCAGCTTCATATAGATAAGCAGTCCAAAGCATCCTTGGGCGGGTGTTATTACGCACTCTCGTCTCTCATTCGGTAAGCAGCCCGTTTCCTTTTTTCTCATTCAAGCAACGCGCAATATCAAGCAGACATGTCGTCGTCTGGGACAGTCCCGGACCGCACGAAGTCTTTCCAAGATTGACAACTATCATCATACATTGTCGAGAAGGTTTTCTGGTCATTTTTTACCGAAGGCAGATCTTGTTCACATCCCTAGAAGGACCGAGAACAGTAACCAGCGTGTAGCTAAAATGTCTCCCTGAGTTTGACGGACAAAGTGCTGGCACTTTGAGATTGGTTCGTGAAAGAAAACCGTTAAAGTCAGCCAAAGAAGGGGTCATGGCAACCTCCCTTACCACGCTCTTCTTGCTAGCCTTCTGATGCCGCGCTCCTTTCACCGGGTGGCGCCTCGACGAAGATGATGCGCTGGCGCTACCGAGTCGAGCAGATCGGCCGTCCGTCCCTGAGCAAAGACAAGAACGGGATCGGGTTGCGGTCATTGAACAGCCAGTCAACAGCCGGGGCAACTCGAGTTTTGTAGGTTGTGAATGTCGGACCCAGATAATGTCAGATGCTTCAGAGCGAATGAGACCTTCGAGGCCATTGCAACATTCAAGAGATGAAAAGCACCTCAAAAGAGGAGAGGATTGGACCGTCCGTTTTCAAGTGTTCATGGCAACAAGCAACGGCTTCCTGAGCTGTATCACAAACTCGCATGTAATGAATCACCAAGAAGGGTTTTAGACATCGGAGCTACTCAACCGCGACCTCGGATCACCATAAACGTCAGACAGACTTCGAGCTAACCCGCGTATCTCACCCTTCAATCTCTCCATCCGGAATGCAGCGATGCGTCTGTCTCTTAGCACCGGTTCTCTGTGTCGAGCCGCGCTACTTGATTGCACCTTCTTCTTTATCCAGAGTGCCTCACCACTTGATTGAACCTTTATCATTATCCAGAGTGACTCACCACTGCTCTTCTTGTCCAGACTCGCTCCTCCGACGAGCTCTTCGTATAGCTGTGTTCCAATTCGCGTCCCCCACCCCTCGCCAAACAGGTCGTTGTCGATGGCTCGAAGCGCGGAGATGATCTCGCCGGTTGTCACCATCAAAGCCGGGGACTGGCGGACGATAACGTGCACCCTGAAAAGAAAGATATGATTTTGCCACGTTTTGAAGGACCGAGGTTTCGGGGGTCGACTATGCTCGCAGATAGACGTATCGACTCCGGTTAGGCTGAATTGTGGTCGGAAGCTGTCAGCTCACAAGCAAACCGCGGTTTTGAAAAGAGGGCCAGCAAATGAGAATGGAAAAAAGACTTAAGCCGCCGGAGCTGACTACTGCAGGTCTGGTGCCGTCTTTACCAACATATCAACCAGATGTGACGCAGGATCAAATGACGTGACTGCTACAATCGTTTACCAACTGCTGATTCTCTCCAGTCACGTCTTGATGCAACGCTTCGAGCACGAAAGTGAAGACTTGTTTCGGCCGTATCTGCCAAGCTCAGACTGGGATACCATGCAAGTTCGATCACTTCAAGCATTACAGACGTCGATAAAAACGTTGTGTCTCGCTCCAATCAGGGGGCCGACACACAGAAACGCCATAGGAAGCTTCGCAGTCTTCTTCTCTTCTGAAACAAGGGGGTTCTTACCTCTGATTCTCGAAGAGGCGGTAGATGAACAGCGCCGCCTCTTGCTGCGCGCTCCGCATCCTGTCTGCCGGCAAGAACTGCAGAATCTTCTTCAAGGCTTGAAGCGCCCCTTGCTCTAGTAGCCAATTGTGGTTGATGTCATCTATGCTGAGACTGCTGATCAAGCGCACCGCTGACGTGAGCAAGCGGTACCAGACCCCCACACGATACTTGCGTATCCATTCTTTCGTCTTGTTTTGCATTGTCTGCTGAACCTTTCTGAAAGACGTGCAACACTGAAGGAGCTCCCGATGTTCGGCAATGTCACCGGTCTCTAAGGTTCTCTGGGCCCAGTGAACAGCGTAAGACCATGTAAAGCTTCTCCAATTCTTGAATGACGGCCCCAAAGGTTCGCCGTCCAAAGCGGCCAAAATTGTCCTAGGCAAAACTGCAGACGCTCTTTCATTTCTTGCGCAATTTGAACCAATTGAAGCTCTGAGTCTCTTCCGGGCATCGCAGAGTTCTGATCTCCGGTACCCGCAGTCGTAGTGCTCAAAGGGCTGCTCGAAGTTCTGGAAGCTTTCGTTTCCTGCGAGCGTGCAACTTGCTGCTAGACTTGGGGACGGGTTCAGGATTGCCGCGACAATGGAGAAGAGGCGCTCGCTTGAGAAGTAGAAGCCTATCTCTGCAAGGACAATCACAGATTGAGACTCATGCGATCAGACCTTCATCCGATTCCACCCTACAATCTAGCAATACAAGCCGCCCATCAAGCTGGAAACGCAATTTCAACCAGTGTATATATCTTTAACACTGTCTCGAACAGACCTTTAGGGCCTAGTACGTGACCCCTTTTGAAGTCAATTTCGCTACATATTCTGCCATTGATTTCTTTGAGATTGCTTTTTGAATAGGCTTGTATCAGGAAGGGACAAGAAGGGACCTTTACGAGGTATGTGTCCAGGTTTCCTGTATGTTGATATCCGCTGTAAAAATGTAAATGGACTGGTGCCGGCCAGCTGTACTGTCATCTTTCTATAACACAACTCCAAGGAGGGGAGACCGTCATTTGCAGCTCAGTTTCGGACTGAGAAGCACCTCAACGACCTCAGTCGAATTAAACGAGAGGTTCTCCAAACCGGTTTCGCAAAGCAAGAAGGAGCTTTGATAATGATTCCCGATCTTGAGACTCTTGCCAATCTAAAGGAATTTTGGAGCGCTTACTTGCGTCGCCGCTTGCCAGATTTCCGAGGCCTGCAAAACTGCCTTCCACGTCGCACATGTGCAGGGAGTCCGCCTCCTTTTCCAAAGCGGACCGGCACCACTTCAGCAGCTTGAGAGCAAGGTAGAATCGGTCCGCATACGGCACATTGGGGCTTCTGAGGTAGCTGAGATGCGCTAAGACTTTCACTGCGTCCTGCCATTGCATTCCTTTGACGTGCAGCTCGCTCCTAATGAAGATCTCAACCATGTACGCCTCGCTGAGAGGGCGCCGCTGAATGAATGCAAAGAGACTGGCTTTTGAGCACAGAAAGCTGAGGTCTTCGGTGTCTTCAGGGTCCTGGTCGAAGCTCGGCGCTTCGTGACAATTGTCGGCGTGAATATAGCTGCACGCAGAAGAAGCTGGAATCAACAAATGACAGGAAGTACACAATTCAAGGGTTGGCGCTTTCGAGATTTCTTATCAGAGAGATATCTTGCAGGCGGCCACCTCTGCTGGCTGCCAGAGCATGTACTATCCTTTTGACAGAGAAACTGCTCCAAACATTTGCATGAAGAAAAAACCCTGAAGTAACGCAGGTAAGAATCTGTTTGTTGTCCGCACTTATGTGCATATTACCATTCCCTGACGAAACTGATAAAAGGTAGGATTCTCAGAAATGGAGACAACTTCAGCCAAGCGCTGCTGACATAACAGCGAGGAGACTGAATCCGCTGCTCACCAGTCCAACTGGTACTCTGCAGCCTTGCTCCTCTCTTGCTCCACTCTGGCTGCAATCCACGCGCGTGTTTTGGGCCCATGCAAAACTTCAAAGCAGAGGCCTAGCGCTGCCCAGGCTGTCTCCTGCTGCAGCCGCATCTAGGTGACAGAGCTCCATGGTGTCACCACCCCCAAGGTGAAAATGCTCCGGAGCTTCCCGACCTTTCCGTCATGTAGCCTGCATCACCAAAGTTGGATCTGTCAAGGCTTGGAAGCTTGACTATTAACGAGGAATCCATTCCGTATCCCCCGGATTCAATCAGGTGTGACTATCCCCAAGCGAGCTCTCCAGGACAAAGAATCTTGCAGGTCAGCTGGTTTAGGGGAAGATTGAACCATGCAGCGATGTAATAGGACATCGTTTTGCCGTCAACTGATGCTCTTGATCAGAAAAGAAGGCACTGCGGGCAAGCAGACCTCAAAATCAACGTGCCATAACCACCTTTGGAACTGAATACCAGTAAAGCAGCGTGCCCTGAGTATTGTCAAAGCAGCGTGCACTGACTCCACGTTTCAATTTCCATGGAACCGCATCAGACAGGAACGTGGCAGACAGCGTCCAATAAAGCTAATGCTATGCTCCATTTTCTTTAAGGGACAAGCAATCTTGTAGCATCTCAATCCTGCATAACCGAGCAACTCTTACCAGTGCGCCCCCGCGAGCTTCTCGCCAAGCATTCCCTTGACGTCCCAATTATGCACCAGGTGCAAGAGGCCTGCGCAGCCAATGCTGCATGCTGCTACTACCAATCTGCTCGTTTGGGGGCTAACATTTGCGTGGACTAAGAGAGTGCCCAAAGCAGCGACTGAATCAACTGGTTTTAGCATGTCCACGAGTCCCAGCCCAATCCAAAACAGGAAGAAGTGGGCACGTGGAGCCTTGTCTTTAAGGAAAATGCCGCAAACTAATGCTGCCGTTACGAAGCGCACCGACCATCTCCTGAAACCAAGTAAGTGGACACAGAGGAGGATAGCGAGCAAGGGAGGCAACCACCATGGGACAGACTCTTGGCATATTGCTGGAATGATGGACACCAAGGCGCTCAAATACAGGTAATTCTTGACCAGGTAGCAAGCGTTCTTGTTAACAGGCACGTTAAGCAAGAGCAGCACCTCGTATGTTAGCGCCAGAGGGTATGGCCACCTATCACGGCCGAATGCAGCGCCCAGAGAGAGGTCGAACAAAGCTGCAAGCAAAAGTCCGGCCAGCAAGTGCACAACCGCCCACACCATGATCTCTGCCCTTCAGGACCTCAGCACCAGTATTGACCATGCTGCTGATGCAGGCCCTTTCAAACCTTTCTGGTTTAATACTAGGTGATTTGAAAGTGAACCAGCTTTAGGGTAAGGTCATGTTGAAGCTGACCCCCTATGTTCAGTTCAGAGGGTGGGGGTTGGGGGTTTGGAATCCTCCGG